TTTTCCCAGTTTAACAAAAGTAACATACAAGTTAATTACTTCCTAAAATAGTTCTTCACAACAGAATAAAAACATTTCACTGCTAAATATCTATTTTGCTATAATGGTCATATCATCCACTTTTTCTACCGTTTCTCCTATGATTTATCATTCACATGTACAAATAAATTCTTAAAATAATATCTCCCAAAACAACCTTTACCAAAAAAAATACACAAAGTCTTCAAAAGAAGACAGAAGAATGAAATTTCTAAGTCAAGATTCTGTTGTCCGTAGACATAATTTAGTCTTTCATTCAAATCCCAGGAAATTAACCTTTAAAGGATATATTACAATGTAAATTTGACAAGCTAATTATGAATGATACCCTAACTGCGTTTGTTTAACATCAAATAAATGTTTGTTTAATATCAGAGCCCTTGTTTGATTTTCACAAGCACTTTCTTGTGCAGGTAATGCCACATCACTTAAACATTCAAACATAACTTAAACCAGAAAACATTTGATCAATACACTTTCCTTGTATCCAATCCGTTTAAACATTGAACACTTTTGCAGTTGTCTGGTACAGAATTACTTTATTTTTGTTATAAACTTATACCCCTTACCGTGCCTTACATTTGAATAAAACAAATTATAAAGAATACAATATCAATATGTGGTCAATAATGGAGTTACATGTGCGGTCAAGGATCATAAATAGAAAAGGGTAAGTTTTTTCCATAATTTCATAGCAATTTGCTGCAAAAGTTTAAAAATTAATCTAAATTTAAATTTATTTCCTTGTTCTTATTTGTCATGGATACTTAAAAAATAATTTGTTGGAGATATTGTTTTTTTTTCACTGGTGAACTCGCTAGGGTCTAAAAAGGTGAGTACACACTGTAAAATATTCTTAGTGAGAACCCAGGGGAGGGTTCAGTACTTAGAAACCATCACGTATTTATGAGCATATCCCAAGTCAGGAATTTCATCAACGGTCTTTTTTATATTCCAGGGTGTTTTTTTTTTTAGAGATAAAGATTAAAATATGGTATGTCATATTCCTGGCAAAACTATGACCTAACCTTTATAAGTTGACTTTGATACTTAAAAATAAACTTTTAGATATCAACATATGGACTTTAACATGGTCTAATTTCTAGAGTTCAACCTCTAAATGGTATTTTTTCTATTGTTGTATACACCACATAGCCGTTTATTCATGTTTAGCAATACTGGTAATCTGTGATGAGCAGAGTTTGAATCATGTCTTCCCCCCCTGGTGATATTTGGTAGGAACATATTTATACAGGTTAATATCCAGTTGAAATTAAACAAAAGAAATGGAACTCTTTATTAGAGAAGGTTAAAAAAGCCAAGTTGGTATATATTTGAATTGTTTTCATCTGTTTCTATGGGCTTAAAAGTTAAATGTGGGTGCATAATTTAGTATTTTTCGTATCTTATATATAAATTTTTACTTAAATTATAGAATGGAACATCGAGATATTTGTAAACTTTTGAATTAAAGACAAATTTTCACAAAACATTCGATTGTGGTAGGTACAAAAACATGTGGATCTTTTTTGTGCATAAGCATAAATTCCACCAATAAAAAATTCCACAGAAAGATGAATGATCTTCATAACCATTAATTTGCATCTCTGCCCTCGGCGACAGTTTTTTGTGAAAAAATCCTAAAACTGGGCAATTATCTCATCAAAAAGAGAAAGTTGAGTACACCTTTTCATGTTCAGGCGTGTTTGAGTTGACTGTTTTGTCTTGAAATGTATAAAGCAAACATATTTGATACATCATCTCGCTTCTAATCCTATTATTTTTATATATTTAGGATACAGGTTTATACAAAACCATTAAAAATTCACAGTTCTAAAAAATGAAATATAAGGGTCAAGTGAAATGCCTTTCTAATGAGTCATAATAACAGAGTAGGTGTGTTTGAATAACAAATTTTTAGTAAAAGTACTTGACGACAGACTTTCCAAGTGGATCTTAAAAATTTAATTTTTAGTGTGTGGTATTTAGGGTTATAAGTCTTCAACCTCTGAAAATATCTAGTCTGCCCTTCCACGAAATACTTAATTAGATTTTTTTTAATATTATTTTAACTTTCGAAAATTCCCCTTGGCAACCGATCAGAAAATTGTTTAAGTGGAAAAGGCCTAAAATTACATTAAATGATGCTTAACAGCCAGTAGATAAATTTGTCTTTTAACATACAACTGTCATGTAAGAATTATAATGAAGCTATGTGGATAAATTCATCGGTTTTCAAGAGCTAAATTGACAGCGCGTCATCCCTACAATGGCTTCCATTTCAACGCTTTAAAAAATTAGGTGGCGTAATGGGGAGATAATGTTGACGAAGTAGAATCCTAACTGTATAATTGTAGTTCACAAACTAGTTAATGGGCTAATTAATATAGGCATTGTTTACATAAGTTTTTGAAATGCTGTTGTGGAAGGGCTGCTTTAGATATCAACAATATGACCTTGTTAAAAGATATTTTTACTTAAAACATCTATATTTTACAAAATCATTAAAACATCCTCTGACCATATGGTATAAGGGAGACAATCCTATTTAAACTCATCATAGTAACAATCAAAATTAAAACATCCTCTGACCATATGGTATAAGGGAGACAATACTTTTTCATCTCTTATAGTAAAATGAAAATTAAATCTCCTCACTGGCAAGCACAGTGACCAAGCATAAAAAGTGTAGAGTCTGGAGATTTAATCTGAATTAGATTGCATTTTTTCTTACTTGATTTCAATGAAATTTTAACCATTACACTCTGATTTATTTATGATACTTTGTTATCTTATCTTTAAAAGCACTTAGTTATGAAAGGTGGTGCAAAAAATTAGGAATTAATACAATGTCTTGGGATATTTTAAGAAATTTGAGGAGCTGATTACACAAATGGGCATCTTCAATCGAGGATGCTGCTGAAAATAGACTATGTTTTATCATCTGGAAAAACTGCAATAATTCCCCAAAGGTAAACTGACAAAGTGAAGGGTCATCTTCAATGAATATCCAAACATTCTAGAAAGTTTGAAGGCGGTTGGCTGCAAAGTGTAAGAGAAACTGATTTTACAAAACAAAAAAGCTCCTTTACAAACTATTCTGCCCAATGTTCACCTTACCCATACAATAACTTGGATTTACATACCTATGCAGCCTGGGAAAAAATAGCTGACTTTTGGCAATGTACTTTAAATATGCTAAAATGAATCAAGAAGTTGTGACACCTCTTTCCATAAAATTTCTCTAAAAAAATTTATACAAGTTTTAGGGGAGGAGGGTCTATAAAATATACCTACAAGTCAAATCCTATTATAAATGTTATCAATGTTTTCCCCTTAAAGATAATATTTAAATATCTATGATTTTGTATACAAAGTCAATTGCATAATGCTAAAATATGTATTGTTCAAACTTCATCATAAAATGTATCACTACTTCCTTACCAACCAACACAGAAGCTGCTAATCTTTTGTTTGTATCGCCCCATTTGGATTTTTTCCCACTGTCATCTGAACTTCCATTATTCCTTTTTGATGAATCTCCCCCTCCTGAATTAGCCACAAAAGCCTTTTTAAGTAATAAAGTAGCTCTTCCTATCCCAGCCATCTCTGATCATCAGCTGTGGACGATTGCTTTATTTAATTAATGTACAAAATGTTTCTATCATCTTTATGACAAGTTATTGTCACATAAATTACTTTCTAAATTCCTATTTATCAAAAATGGTATCAACATTTGAAACTTTATAGATCCACAAAATCTTTAATAAATGACACACCTCGTATGTTACTAAAATATTATAAAAAAAAACTTTCTATAACTTTATAAAATAGAACTATTTTTACCAATTACTTAATGTTACTCTTATACATAAGATTTTTTTCTCTTTTACAAATCAGACATTTTTTTTGCAATTACATATATATATATTAATTGAATAATGTCTTGAAGAAAGTGTGATGTTAACTTTCTGTGCATAATGTTTAATTGTTTTTTTCTAAATATTATCATCATACATGAATTGTACCTACTTCAGAATATCTCAAAACCTACCTTATGTAAGAAAACAATAGAAAATCCGATAGCCAAACTTAACATGTAAACAAACTGCAGGAAATGCTTTCAGAATTTAGGCCCCAAAAAATTCAAAACTAAATAGTGGTTTCTATTTGGTGTATAAACAATGTTTCCTTCAAAGAATTTCAAAGGAATAAGTGACAACCATGCAAAATAATACACCATTCAGTTCACATACATGAGTAAACACAATATTGTATTGAACTAAAATACTATAACTAATGAAGGTTCTGTCCAAATATTTGTTATTTTTTCTGACCAAATAAAAATACCTTTTCTTGTTACGCTACAATCAGATATTTGATATGGCTATTTCTAACCCGTTAGATTTCCCTATAATGACTCCTATTATTATTTGATATGGCTATTTCTAACCCGTTAGATTTCCCTATAATGACTCCTATTATAAGTGAAATTTTGTGAATTGAAATAAATAAAAGAATAAACAATGTTCCATTAGATTTCACAAAGTTTACACTAGTTAATTGTGCTACCTTTTATCTGTTTCTTTGTTAATGTCCATTTACACAAACCTTGATTGGTGCTCAATTACAAAACTTTATCTTTTAAACAAATATTGTTTTGAAAAAGAACCAAAAAAGAAAAATGTTCATGGTACAGAAAAAATACTTCTAAGGGATAAGTTAATTAATTTTTACAAAAATTCCATAAATATACAATTCAGATGTGTAAATTTCAGCATGGAATTCGATAAGAAAAAATTCTCCAAAATTTCTATATTCAATAGTTAATGAAAAGTTACCTTTCTGATACCCCTAAATAAAGTGGTGAAAAGCAATTAAATATGTCAATATTTGTCTGATATATCACAAGCGTTTCATGAACACTACTCTGGTTTTAATGAGAGAAATTTAATTTTCAGATGGTAAAGGGTACTGCTGATTCCATGTAGAGATAAAGGTAATAAATAAAATTTTATTATAATAATCTTAAACATATATTTCCTCGTTTTTGCAGAAATTTAAAAAAAAAAAAACTGAAAATAATATAATTATTTATGATATATATAAAAATTCTGAATACTTAATATTGTAAATGATGGGATATGACCATTGCCTTTTTATGTATTTCAAAGTAACATTCAATATACAGCACTTCTATCTAAAAATGTGATGGTCACTTGATTTCATTTCATATAAATTTTCAAAACACAACATTCAATTTTGAATAAAATTTGTGATTTGTTAAAAAGCATAATTGTGTGCACATAGTACAAGATCAATGGGAAAAAAACTGTTAATTAGGTTAATGGAGCTAATAATTCTATAATCTTGGGTCACTTTCATATGGCATGTGTTGTTTTCATACTCAATGAAAGCATATGACGGATGTTGACAAATATGACATTGGTTGACCATATTCTTTAAATTTCATCTCACAATTATATGTTACATGTAAGTGCGAAGTCAAAGTACATGCTGAAACTTCAGGTACACTAATCTATAACCAAAGAACAGATCATCTTATGAACACAAACCTGGTTTATGTTTTAAGGTTAATTAAAATAGTATTCATAGTACAATGTAGCTGTAGTATTCAAAATAGTAATCATAGTAGCTGTAGTAGTCAAAATAGTAATCATAATAAACTATACTAATCATAGTAGGTGTAGTACAGTTAAAATAGTATTCATAGTACCTGAACTGTTCTTTGGTTACAGATCAATGTACCTGCAGTACATATATTCATTCCTCACAGATCTTTTTGAAACTATTTTTGGTATAAGCAGCCACCCAATTTTTCAGCTTTAAGAAGAATCATTATACCAACCTCAATACACAAAATGAAATAATTTTAAGACGAAGTTTCAAGAGCCTGTTTCCAAGTATTTCCCATATGATCTCATTTTAAACTAGGCTCAATGAAATTATCTGATTTTTCCCCAGCATCTGACATTTCTCCCTTTTAAATTAATTTTAATGGTTTAACATTTCAAATACAATATCAAGCCACGTCTAATGTCTACTTTTTTTAAAGGCTTTGTTCTGGTTTCTGAACAAAATAAACTTATTAATAAAAAAATATAACTTTTTTATTATATTTGGACCAACAAAATATTTTATAAAATAGAATAAAACTATGTTGATTTGCAGTATCATCATAGCCTGAAGTTCAACGCTTGCTACTTCTACTAATTTTTCACAACCACTAAGCAAGCTCAGTGACCCATAATTTTAACGATGTATTTTTGAAAATAGCTCGATGTACACTACATTTAGGCAAAGTATAAACGAATTTTGTCAGTTTTTGTTTACTGTGGATTAGTTATTATTCCTGGGCTATCAATTATCATTGATATCGTGAGTATAGGGAAACCACAAATTTATGTTCAGTGAAGTATAAATCAAACACATCCATGAAATACATGTACTATTTTTCCTCTATCCAGGAAAATTGGTACCCACAAAAATAAATGAATCCACAGTATACTTCAATATTACATTATAAACACAAAATAAGGTCTTCCAACTCATAACATGAAAGATCTAAATGAAAAATTATTTACTTATCTGACTTATCTGAAAGACATACATGCTTGCTAATGTAATAACTATTATAAAGTACCAAATTCATCTCAACTTTATTCCTGAAAATTTCCATTGTTGCTATAATATGAGTTATTCCTTTTTACAGTGATAAAATTGTTTAACTGGTTCAACTTGCCAAAGAACTTACTAAAATTGACAGCAGCATATGTTACAAATGATTTTTAAAAAGTTGCATGTCTTACATCTGGTTTTGAAGCTGTACATGTGTTTTAACCTTTCAAAAGGTTTGGTTATGGTAATTCAAATATTACAAAGTCAATAAGGTGGTATTATTGCCAATGAGACAACTATCTGTCAAAGGCCAAAGGACAAGGATAAAAATTTACAAGTCACCGCACAGCCTTCAACAATGAGTGACACCTATATTGTGTACAGTGTAGCATAAGCTCAAAAAGTCCCTAGATGACCAGATATGAAACACTTCAAAAGAGAAAATCAAAGGCAATATAAATTTTAATTAATTTATCAATATGTTAATGACAAATATTTTTTTTTAGAAATTTTAATCAAGTAAATAATGTGGAAGAAATGCTGAAAAAGAACATCACTGAATGTTGGCTGAGAAAACAATGCTTTTGTTACAGATATTACAAACATTTAAAGTTAAACACATGTTTCCTAAACTCACATATATTTTTAAAGACGAAATATTTGAAGGCTTGGGTAAAATATATATAAATTTGATCACTACAGTGTTCTCCCCAGGCCTTTTAAGCACTTCTGACATGTGGTCCTACCATTTCAGAGCATGGTCCTATATTTCTAGCCTGTGGTGCTATAATTTTCAGTAGCTAGCCTGTCAATACTCAGGTTGTGAGTTGGAACATTGCTCATGGCAAGGTGTGTTTGACTCTGATCTTAATTTCTTAATTTAATTTTTGCTAATTTTCCTGCCCAAAGGTCACTTTAATAGACTTCCTCCAATAACAACTGGCCACCATTAAATAGCCAAGAGTGCTAAAAGTAGTGTTAAACACCAACAATCAATCAATCATACATATACAAACATGTATAAATAAGATGTTACTTACTGGACTTATTTAATCTAGATATCATTCTCAATGTATGTACAGAACCTCTTAGTTTTATCAAAGCTGGTAAAGGTTCTTTAGAATTGAGCTTCATATCCCTATTGCCTGAACTGTGAGGTACACTTAATCCTGATTTTATTTCTTTTTCTTTTCCAATTATGTACTTTGATTTAGATCGGGACACAGCCTTCATTCTCAGTACATGTTAAATCCAAACACATAAAAAATGAATGCAATAAGCTATTCAATTATAACTATAATGTTGTCCAGTGTGTGCTGAGTGCTAATTGTAAAGATACAATTGATTCTACAGTTGACATCTATGTAAACAATGTTAGCAATACTTCTATGTTTATAAACAAGACATCATTTCAAATCATTATTTCTAAATCTTTACGAGAATTTTCACTTCAAGATAATTCAAATCCTTGCGCAAGTTTCTATACTTGACACTTTAATTTCAGCTTATTTCTAAGTTCTATAGTAATAAAGCAGATCTTATTGTTATTAAAAATATCTTAAATAAAATATTCCATATCTCCAATACTTCAAAAATTAGTAATATAATCAAATTCTCCACTTATCCCCTTCTTATCACAGTTCATAAATATTGAGAAAAATCTTGTCCAGGACATTACATATCTTTCATCAATACAAGTCATAATTTAGTTGAACTTAAGCAAGCAAATTTTATGTTAAAACTACATGTATTTCCATCTTAAGAACACTTGATTGAAAGTTTAATTGTAGATTATACCTGGATAAGAAGTAAAGATAAAGACTGTAATTTAATGTCTATTATAAATGTATGATCTTATGTCTTATGATCAATATTCATAAAATTTCTGGTTTACACCTATGACAATTAATTACCCTCATAACCATAAACAAAGAGCTTATCTTTATTCATGAAATATTCTCCTCCAATAGATAAGTGTTCTGGTCAATTGACAAAGTGTGCATACATATACAACATGTACTAAATGTTCTTTCAAAAGCAGGTCAATCATAATGAAGCTTATGAAAGATCTGAAACTGGCATTTCAAATTATTTACAGAGAATTGGCTCAATATCTACTCTCGGGCCATAACATGAAAAACAAAACAAAAGATTTTCTTGCAATTGTCTAGGTTATGGGAGATAGGATTGTACTTTAGTTTAAAAAAATATGTCAACTCTAACTTAATTTTTATGTTATCTATAATTACTCATTTTACAATCATTCTCCCTAGACCCTAGGATGCTGGAAACAATCATTTTTATGAAACTTGAGATTGTCATCTTTAGGTCACAAGATCATAACAATACTCATATAAGATAAAGAAGACAAAAAACAATGAAGAAACCTGTTATTTCAATGAAATGCCCATTGGCATTCATACCATACCTTCTTATTTTTATAATAGATGTTTTGGGCCTTTTGGGTTGTAAGAGTTCCTGTCAACCCCCCATGGCAAAGAGTTGAGTTATTAGTAATTTTTTCTGATGTTTTACAGTCAACTTTTACTCTCCCACACCCCACCCCCCTTAATAGTTTTGTTGGGTCACTCCTGTCCAAATCCCCAAAATAATGTTGTTGGAGTTGCTCCTGCCCATACCACATCCCCCCTTCCCCCAATATTTTGTTGTGTACCACCTGCCTCATCCTTTGAAGGTCCTGGATTCTCTTCTCTGATAAAAAAAACCCCAGAAAAAACAAGAATGTGTCCATATTACACGGATGCCCCACTCGCACTATCATTTTCTATGTTCAGTGGACCGTGAAATTGGGGTAAAAATTCTAATTTGACTCCTATGTTCTATTTTTAGCTATGTCGGCCATCTTGATTGTCAGGCAGGGTCATCAGACAAATTTTTGAAAGAAGATACCCTAATAATGGTTGTGGCCAAGTTTGGGAAAATTTGGCAAAGCAGTTTCAGAGGAGAAGATCTTAGTTAAAGTCAACAGACGGCGGACAACACCGATGGACAACGACAACCACCAAGTGATGGCAAAAGCTCATATTTAGGGCCAGGTGAGCTTAAAAAGAACACCTTACAATCAATCAATACACCAAACATAGTTGAATTATTACTTATAATTTCTGAGAACGGACCTAATCATGTAGCTTTAACCTTGACCAGTGATCCACGAAATGAAGTCAAGGTCAGGTGATCTGTCTGACAGACATGTAGACCTTGCAGTGATCCAATATACCAAATACTATAACCCTATTACTAATTATAAGTGAGAAACTCACATCTTGAAAAAAAACTGTGCAGTCCATGCAATGAAAATAAGGCCAAGGAGAGTGGACATATGATGAACCAAATATTCTTAACATAAGGCATGTATATATTCCGGTTGACAAGTCTACTTCGTTTTTGTTTTTATTGACCGACCGTGCAAGGGCTGTATAGCCAGTCAAGGTCATTAAAAACTTCCATATATATACTTCGTTTTTGACACGGATGGCAAAGTGTTATTTTCATGCGACATGTTTGCAATTTTCATTTCACATGTTTTCATGCTTGAAGCTCATTAATTACTCAGCATTTATCCTGAAAATTAATACAAAGCAATTTGTAGCTTTTATTTCTCGTTCATGAAATGGCCATTTATTTTCCTGTTTGTCCATGGACATAACGTTTCCGTGGATATAATGTTACCCCCCTTTTTATGATGCATGCATTGTATCATTACTATGTTGATCTATGTTTAAAACAGCTCAGCAGTAATATTTGGAGCAAAAATTTAAGAAATGATGACAAAATAGCATACCAAAAATATCGTTAGTAAGCTGAAATATATATTTATTTTCTACATATTTATGTCTTGTAAGATATTTTTTTTTCTTCTTTTTTTTCCAACCGACCGACCCAACTTTTTCATATAAAAAATGTTGGACACATGTTTCATATTATAGTTAAAATGCAATAGTGATTCTTTGCTTGATTGGTGTATCAATCAAGTGATTGGTTGTGTAAATAAACAAAAGCATGACAAATCGCCCCACTACCCAATCCACCCCATTTTATCAGCTCTCCCGCTCATGAAAAGGAGTCAAATTTCGCTGAATTTAGGCATGCCAACTTGCACCATCAATGAAAAGGAGTCATATCCTGCTGAATAAAGATCTGCCAACGCGACCCACTTATAAAAAGGGGTTTAATCTAAACTAACATCCCAACTTAACATAATAATAAGCTGCCTTCCTAAGGTTTTTATCAGTTAGTGGTGCAAGTTGGCAGGTTTCTATTCAGTGGAATTAAACTCCTTTTCATTAGTGGAGGGAGTTGGTTGGTCTAAATTCAGGGGAATATGACTTGTTTTCATTTATAGTAGGGCGAGTTGGAAGGTCTTGATACAGCAATTTAGCATGCCTATATTCAGCAGGATTAAACTTTTTTCATTTGTGGTACATGTTTGTTATAATGAGTGGGTGAGTTAGTCTGGAGCAATTTTGCAATAGGTGAGATGTCATGGATTCTAAATAAACTGATATTTAGACATAAAATGCATAACCATAAAAAGTAGTGTTCTCTTCATGGTCTATACTTCATCTCAGACAGATCTTGTTACTTCCATCCACTAACAACAGGTATCATGTGTTGTTACATGCTCCTGAAGGGAGCATAAATGGTCCATTTGGGTCTATACGACTATTCCTTAAAATAAACATCAACAACATAGGGACTATTATTTTCCTGTCGCATGATCTTGTGTGAAAATGGGAGAAAGGTTTTCTGTTCTTCTCAGGATTTTTCCTCAAACATCATAAAGGAGCAGATTTGTATGTGAGGAGCAAATGATTTAAAGTAAATTTGCATAACTGATTACTTAAAAAGTATAATATTATGAGAACAATTACAATGTCCTAAAAAAACACTAAAAAATCAATACACTAGTGTATCAAATATCCTTAACTTTTTTTTATGTTTATACATGTTTACAAATGTACATTACCATCATGACAGCAGCTGCCTGTGACAAGAAGCAACAAGAAGAAACATATAGTGACAGAAGATAAATTAAGCGAAAAGAAAGTTTAGTTACTTCGAAAACAAAGAGATTAATAAAAAAATCAATGAATTACATTTGATTATTTGATGATCAATATTGATGTATACCACTGTGTATCTATTTTACCTTTTTTGGTTTGATTTGGTTTGAAACTTTTAAGAAGATATTCAAACGTGCCAACTCCACATAAATCTTGATTCATTTATATTATATACACTATGATGAAACCAGAAAATATATTATCTTATACATTTCCTTGATTATATATAATGAAAAAACCTCAACATTTCCTATTTTCTTGAACAAATGTTTATCTTCTTTTATCAGTACACAGCTGTGTATCAGTGTAATGAAATATTGAAAATCACTTTATTACAAGTATATTTAAAAATCACTTTAATGCATGTTTCTATATTTATTCATTTGAAATAATTAATAGTTAGATTTCTAATTGAAGCTAAATTTGTTTTCTTGTTGCTTCTTGGCGCTAAATTAGTCTTCTTGTCTTTAATACTGAGACCAGAGACTGCCATGTTATAAAGCATCACAAATTAGTGTATTTGTTTACCAAAAAGTATCATAAACTTTCACAGGTAACAGTTGCCTCATATTCAGGGTTTCAGCTATGATTTTGAGGGCTTTAGTCACTTTTGCGCGAGATGAAAATCAACCTTGTTTTGGGTAACAGCAAGGGATCAAGGACGTATATTACTAGCTATGCATATGCCTAAGTCCTTCAAGGACTAGGATTTTTGAAGGCCTTAGGCATGGTACAAATGTTTGCAGTTACTGCATGATTTGACTGATGTAATGCTTAAATATGAAGATAAGAACAGGGATCTGGAAATCTAGTTCACAATTTCACTTAAGTTATTTTCAGGGGACATTCCTGATCAACAAAAGTTGGGTGCCTCTTTTTTAAAACCACAGCATAATTGAACTTTTAACGACTATTTCACTGCATAATCATTATCCTTGTTAATACATTTAAATCGATATTTGGAATTCATTTCTTTAAAGTTGGAAACAAGGACTTGTATCAATCCTTATTGGAAAGATTCTAATGACTAAATTGTAAATTAATAGAGAAATGATCACGTTTACTTTCGATTTTTAATCGAAATGAAAATGGGAAGTGACAATTGGATAATAAATTCAGAATGAATCCGGATTCATCTACGGATTAGTTTGTGTTTAACAAAAGGCAGGAAATTATCATTTTTTTAAATTAAGTTGCTTAGTAAGAAATATATTTGTCTCTTTCGTTTAATTTGATACTAAATGTTTTTGTATTTTACGTTTTAGTGTCTATAAATTTATATGAATACTTTCACGCATGTGCAGTACATAGTTAAGGAAGCACCTGTTTGACTCCTGAAAAGATTTCTTAACGTTTTGAATAAAGTTCCATCTTTTTAATCAAAATTGTCGAAAGGTTTTGACAAAAAGTTATATCAAATATGACAAAAATATGTTCATATGACTAAACTACGACAAACGAACTGCAAAATGTGATCGTCGGAAATTAAAACGCGAACTGTCCAGGGGAAAACAATTTTGTTCAAATGACAAAACTACAATAAACAAACTGCAAATTGTGGTCGTTTGACAAATATTAAAATTGAAATGCCGACTGACTGATTTTACTGGGATAAATAATTATGATGGTCAATTATGAGGTTTATTAATAATTAACGGATTAGTGACCCATCTGATGGCGATCAGCGGATTACCTGTAATCACAACTTTTAACACCTGTTGTAAAAGTTAATAATTAGCTGAGGGTCATAAAATTGTCAGAAACATGAAGAGAGGTAGAATAATAGTATTTTCATGCGAAAATATTTTTACACTTTCCAAATTTAAGTGACAAAATTGATTTGAAATACTTTCGTCATTTTGAAAAATGTTTCGTAAATGACAAAAATGACGAGTGCTAGCAAAATCACTGCTCCTATCATCTAAAACAAACAAAAACCAGGTAACATATTGATTGAGTATTTTTGGGGGTAGAAATGAGATCATGTAGATGAGCACTAAAAACCGGTCTTACTAATTTGCGAAAAAGAAGAATCTTAGCGACAAGAAGCGTCAAGAAGAAAAAATTAGCAACAAGAAAGTTTAAATGCTATCAAAAAAATAAATTTATAGAAAAAAAGGTTAATTAATAACAGCTGATTTTTTGTTTAATAGTTTCAAATTTTATTTCATTTAGTATCACTACAGTTTTGCAATGAATTTTTAGTGAAAACAAAAATTACATTCTTTTAAAGTATGTACAATGTATCAATATGAACATTTTGAAACAATCCCTGAATCATTATCACGTCACAACAGGGAGTTGGTATTAAATTGTGTAAATAAAAGCACATGGCAATACTCTAAATATAAGAGAATACATGAGGAGCTTATCCTTCAATTATCTGTTTATACAAAGTGCATAAAGAATTAAGAAGAATGGCTAAACAAAAGTAAATAATAAAGAAATGACCCCCACCCCCATCCTACACAAATCCAACCATTCATTTACCTTATGATTTTTGTCGAGCCTTCGACTTTAGTCGAAAAAGCGAGACATAGCGATCCTACATTCCGTCGGCGTCGTCGTCGTTGTCGGCGGCGGCGTCCACAAATATTCACTCTGTGGTTAAAGTTTTTGAAATTTTAATAACTTTCTTAAACTATCCTGGATTTCTACCAAACTTGGACAGAAGCTTGTTTATGATCATAAAATAGTATCCAGAAGTAAATTTTGTAAAAATAAAATTCCATTTTTTTTGTATTTTACTTATAAATGGACTTAGTTTTTCTGCCGGGAAATATTACATTCACTCTGTGGTTAAAGTTTTAAAATTTTAATAACTTTCTTAAACTATCCTGGGTTTCTACCAAACTTGGACAGAAGCTTGTTTATGATCATAAGATAGTATCTAGAAGTAAATTTTGTAAAAAAAAAAATTTCCTTATTTTACTTTTAAATGGACTTCGATTTTCTGCCAGGAAACAACACATTCACTCTGTGGGTAAAGTTTTAAAAAATTTAATAACTTTCTTATACTATTTTGGATTTGTACCAAACTTGGACAGAAGCTTGTTTATGATCAAAAGCTAGTATCTAGAAGGAAATTTTGTAAAAAAATAAATCCATTTTTTCCGTATTTTACTTTTAAATGGACTTAGATTTTCTGCCAGGAAACAACACATTCATTCTGTGGTTAAAGTTTTAAAAAATTTAATAACTTTCTTATACTATTTTGGATTTGTACCAAACTTGGACAGAAGCTTGTTTATGATCAAATGCTAGTATCTAGAAGGAAATTTTGTTTTCTTCCAGTTAACATTACATTCAGTCTGCAGTTAAAGTTTTTAAACATTTATTAGATTCATAAACTATCCTGGATTTTTACCAAACTTGGACAGAAGCTTCTTACAATCAAAAGATAGTATCAAGAGGAATATTTTTATTGATTTACTTCCTTATTTTTGTTGAGCCTGCGATTAACAGAAAAAGTAGGCGAGACACTGGGTTCCGCGGAACCCTTACGAATTTTTAACTACATAAGTAGTGATTATACACTTATACTAAAAAAACAACCTTTTAATGCATGTTTCGGATCAACTGAACTTGGCGACCACAATACTTGTATACTAGTATTGTCAACAATACTCATATATAATGTACAAGTATTGTACAAAAAATTTTAAAAATCAATAGGGTTTGTTATTATTCATTGATGTGTTTGATTAACAACTTGTTGGTGTTTTTATTTATTCATGATAACAAAAACATACTTAAATTAATCTGGGACTATTATACTAACAGTATAATAGACCCAGAATTAATACACAAGAAAATATGTACAAAGAAATCACAATAATAAATCAGAAATGTTCATATGCTGCAGCTGTAAGGAGGGTGATTCTCATCTGGTCAATTGTCTTTGTGTCCATGTCTGTATGCTGACACATGATGTTGATGAATTATAGTCATTTCGTACCCTAACCATATCGTACCATGGCAAAAAAACATTCGTACCCTGACCATTTCATTACAAAAAATGAATAAATGTTTCTAATTTTCTATCCTGAAATACATATTTTTCAAATCATTACATCACTTTTGAATATTTTTGAGTAAAGGCAGTAATAATTACTCTACTTCAATGTATTTATATTTTATATAAACAATACTATCAGTCTTCACGCTAAACCACAGGCCCAGCAGCCCAGGCTTGTAAAATTACTCTCGGGCCTATTAAAATCATATCTACAGGCTAACAGAATCTAACTAAAATTTTCCAAAAATTAAGCTCCGGGCCTGTAGATTTTAAAGTTCATCGTGAAGACTGTTCTATGACAATACTTGTACATTAATTATATACGAGTATTGTTGACAATACTAGTATACAAGTATTGTGGTCGCTAAGTTCAGTTGATCCGCATGTTTCTATAATTATTTATTTTAAATTATTAATATTAAGATTTCTTGACGCTAAATTAATTGTTCTTGTCGCTAAACTATTCTTCTTGTCGCTAATTAGCGAGACCCCCTAGAAACTATCTAATTCTTAACGGGTTGCCCTTTCCAACCATTATGATGGTGGAAATCATTCCACTTGAGCTGTAATTCATCTGCTAAATTTTAAATGGATCGTTCAACAAATGGTACAACGGATAAAAGAAGGAAATATTAGATGTCAGAATGTTTAGGGTTTTTTTTTCATCGTTTATAACTATAAGTTTACACTATACACATTTTCATTAAGATTTTCTTCTATTCATTTTGTTACACACCACCAGATTTTGGTCTTTGCAGACTTGACTGCTTTCCTTTGACTTTTGTGCTCATATTGATCTATATGCTTTTTGTCAATAATGATTGCGTTCACTCGGGTGCCCGTTCTCAAATTCTGGCGGCCATATTGTTTCTTGGCAACTAAGGAAAAATATCGCGAGATTATACGAAGTTTCCGGTTTGGGGTAAATCTCAAACTTTTATAAGGCTTTCTCAAAGTACAGAAAATCTAGGTTCTCGCCTCTGATCATATTTTTTTCTGTTTTTAAAATATTCATAGTGCAATGAAATTAACAACAAAATCGTCAATTCATTATATAGTAATAATGTGATATCAAAATTAAAAGTTGTTAATTAAATTTGATAGTATTATATGTATAATACATGAACTCATGAAAATCGAGTCAAATTCAGTCAAAACTTATTAGAAAAATAATCAGCAGAAACTGTTATCAAGCTCGGAGGTAATTTTTTTAAATTTCATGAAAATTGTAGAAAAGGTGAAAATATATTTTTACATTATTTTTTATTTAGGCAAGGATTTATAATAATAGTATAAGTACTTGATTAGGGCCTATATAATATTAGGGAAATTTGAAAAAGGACTGCTGTGACTATAGTTCACACAGTGCAACGATTTCTGCTTTCATAAGGAAAAAAAAGGTATATATTATTTTTAGATCTGAAGCCACATGTGGAGCAGGAGCACCTGAGATCACCCCCAGTTTTTGGTGGGGTTCGTGTTGCTTAGTCTTTAGTTTTCTATGTTGTGTCATCTGTACTATTATTTGTCTGTTTGTCTTTTTATTTTTGGCCATGGCGTTGTCAGTTTGTTTTCGATCAATGAGTTTGAATGTCCCTCTGGTATCGTTCGTCCCTCTTTTAGGAAACAATCACTGCACTTTTATATCTATGATATCATTCGGTAGTATTCTGCATACCAGTGGTCAAGAATCTTTATAGTACTATTTGAATAAATCATTGCTGTGGTGCAGTAACAATTTTATACCACTGGCTCAGTTTTCTCTGTCATTTTCATAATGGATTCCCCGCATGTTTTTTCCGTGTTCCAGCGTCAAAGTCGTTTTGCATTCCGACCGTAGGTTATATTGACCATTTTGATTAGCCTGTAAACTGGAATCCGCTCGTATTTATGCTACGCTCAAAGTGTGGTAGTAAGCCGAGAACCAGCTTAATTAGCCTGGCATCCTGACCCAACCTTCTTTTCGCGCCAGTAAGCAAGCAGTTAGCCAGGACCCCAGGCTACATTTAGATAAGGGACCAGGGAATAAGTCGTTCGCACTGTGCCACAATCATATTCAAGTCAAGTCTTACAGATTTTATTGGCCAACATCAGCCGAATGCCTTCTTAAACAACAAACCTAATGTTTTACTCATTTAAGATTCAAAAAACCATAAAAAATTCAAATCTTATTTTATCAATCAGACCTTTCACTCCCGGGCCTCCCGACTCGCTATTGTCGCCGGGTGTGTATCTGAAAACGCAGCGACAAACATACGTAACGGAGCAGAGTGATAGAATCAAAATGAAATATCTTTAAAAGTAGCGTAAAAGATTAGAGTATTTTACCGTGTTTATATTATTGGCATGGTAAATAGACGTACGACATTAATACTCGATCATACTTACATGTACACTGAATTTCTAAGCTTTCACTAACAATAATGATAATTTGTGGTAGACACGAAACAATCTGGTGTATACAGTTTGATAACAACTGTTTATGCTGAGACTAATATTATAGTAGTCTCATGTTTATGGAAAACTTGACTAATTATAGACATTGACTATATAAAGTTCGTGGTAGCGACCGCAACATTTAAAGATACTGATAATTATATCCATAAACTTCTAAAGAAATGAAAGATAATTTTTCGACCCTCAAATTTATTTTTGTCTTTTCTTTCAAGTGAAATTGTAGAAGTTGTAGTTGTAGATGTAGATTTAGTGCGTGTTCTTCAGCTTCTTACCTTTATTGGCACTGCTTAGTTTCATTCTTGTAATGGCTGATAATGTCCTTGCTGAAGGGGTCCTGTCCAAAGATCTTGATGAACTTCTTCCAAATGACATTGTATCTGATTATTCCCTGTTTGTGTAATAATATACTTTGCTTGTATTTTTCAGATATTAGATAGATCCAATTCAGAAGCCAGCATTTAAGAAGTACTAAAAACAAAATGTTCGATGTCGTCTTGCTATAATAGTCATGGAGAAGAAAAAGACTAAATATTTTTAAATGTATTTACATAAATATGGTTTCTGTTTCTCTCTTTGTATCGTGTGTGTTCGCAAATGTAATAGTCGAAAATACGATCGTTTAAAAGTTATTACATTGTTCCATTGCATCAATTTTATGGGATCATTTCCATGTATTATATCAAAGGAAAATTGATCCATCGATTCCAACAAATTACTTTCTTTGATCAATTTTTATGTGAAATTCGAATGTAATAGCTACAACTCTAATTCTCATATAAGTGAATGTACAAATTCTCATCATAAGTACATTTAAATTCATAGGGTTTGTTAAAAAAAACGATTTGCAAAAGCAGTTTTATGTTATAACGAAAAGAGCGTGACACATACATTTGTACTTTGTTTTGTCGATACAAGCCTGCAAGAAATTGAAAAGCCTGATTTTGTAACTATTTTTTATGAAACTATTAAGTCAAATGTACAAAAAAAAACTGCAGGTGTATGACCACTTTAATTAAAACAAATTTGTTTCAAAGTTACGATGATAACAATAAGAAGATTTTAATTTAGATCAGAATATAGTGATACAAGAAGTTTGAAAATTGAATATTAAGGGACCCTCTATCAAAACATCAGATCAATTTTCAGTGCTCCTGGAAATTCTAAGCACAATACATTTTGTCGAATTACCGTGACCAATTTTGTGTACAACTGTTTCACGGGAATTTCCAATAAACTATATTATATCCTTGTAATTATGACCCCTCGCAGAGTCTCGTCAATATGCACTCACAGACTTGACACAGATAACGTCAAATTGTTGATGGCGGAGTTTTTAGTTTGTAAAGAATTTTTTTTGTTTCCATGACACTGCATCAAAATATATCACTTACCTTTATTGCCACTAAATAAGGACAGGACAAGCCAATTATATCTCATTCAAATACCGTCAATTATTTATTGTATTACATGTATAGTGAGCAATAAACTGGCACGTAATTAACTATCATTAATCAATACAGGTTCTTTAAACAAATACAGAAAAGGTTTCATTTTCGTTTGTCCAAGCAACAAAGAACTTTTTAAGAAATCGATGTTCTCCAGATGACTATTTCTTTGGAATATTTTCTTTTTCCATTGCCCCAAAAATTTAACTTGAGAAATCAAAAGTTGTTTATATTAAACGTAGAAGATTCCATATTTTTACTACACCCAAGATGTCTCAGAAAGGAGTACGTTCACGAAGGGTTAAAATTGGCCCTAAGATGTTAATGATTTTGATGATCAGGCCAAAATACTAATCATTTCTCATAGAAATAGTTGTGATATTACTATATCGATACAAAAATCAAAGTACTGAAGTACTGAACATCGGATGACCGCAAGTTCTTGTGGATGGTCAAAAGCATTTGTCACAGAAAAAAATCACATCTCTATACCTTAAACTGAGGTTAATGTACAGAGATATATTTTTTTCTGAGACAAGTTCGTGCGTGGATGATGAATAAATGACATGAAATTCAACCTCACCGTAATAACTATTATATTGTAGTGATACAAATCAGTATACACTGGTTTGTTGTTATATATTATATTAATATAACAGTTACATGTATATATAATTTTCATCCATTTGTATATCATTCTATTCTACTATTCTAATAATAGTGCAGTGCAAGTGCATGGTGGACACTCTTCTGTAAAAATTCGATTTTTCTAAAAGATTGGATATGAGTAGGCATTCATATTTTCCCGCAAAAAACAATTACAGAGTTACAGGTCCTTGCCGGGATTGTCGCAAAACGTTCTTGGGATATTCTTCCGCATGTTTTTACACAATTTTTCGGTACGTGTGCATAGATATTATCAATGATTTTTTACTTATATATATATATATCTAACGACAAAACATTTTCATATTATTAATTTATGTTCTAAACAAAAATATTTTTATCAGTATTCATTGAAGAGATGTATTTATAACAAACGATAATGAATGTTATTTTGCACTCGTTAATATCCGCGTATTTATCATGTTTATAGATCGGTTACAAACCCAAAACGAAAGTGACGTAATGGAAATCTAGGCGATAGCAATACATCGGAATGCCCTCACGGTCATCGCGATGTAATAAGTTCATTTTGGCACATCACATTAAAAATGACTAAATGACCGAAGTATTGACTTCTGAAGTATGCATTATTTGTGTTGTAACGTCAGTTTTGGTCAAATTTTCAATAATACTTTATAACAGTTTTTAGGATAATTTACTTTGGCCGCCACCCATGATCCAGAAAGTTTTTGTGTCTAGGGATTCAATATTTGCAACGTTTGGTTACAGAACATAAGCTTTTAGGTCCGAAGAATGCACAAAATACGAACGAGACAGGTATACAGACTACAATTGATAAACAACAGGGAACACTTGAAACTAATAAAGCTTTGGAAAAAACAAACTAAGAAAACAAAAACGTACGAGAGTAACACCAGGTGCTTCTAATCCGAAAAAATAGACACTGTATTGTCCTCTTTAATTGTTTAAAGTTGGCAATTAAAAACCATTTAGAGTCGGAAAAAAACACAGACAACATGGCCAAAAGAATGTTAACAGAAATAGACAAAACAGCTGTTTAAGTTATCAAAACTAAAGGTCCAGCAATTTAAACGCCAACAAATTCCGGGAATGAACTGAGGTGAATCACTAGAGCAAAACGATTGGAAACCTTACTACCGAAATAAACCAAACATATTGAAATTTCGTGATCTTACGAATTCTTGAAATAAAACAACATGTGATTAACAAAGGGATGAAGACTTGCTAAGTTGAAAATCTTGTGTTTGATCCTTTTTTCGTTGTTTTGGACAATAAAATGTGTTTGAACTAACAAAGGGATTGACGTTTTGGATAACATTGCTAGTAATTATATAACCCGGACAATTGTTCGTACCTTATTGTTAATTTTCCTGTAAAAAAAAGGTTTTCCTTTTATTGGACGGGGATGTTCCTTTGGCGCCATCTTACAGTGTTTGTTTATCTTAACTCGTTCACGATGCCCGTGTAGATGTAGTGACGTTTTGGATTTCAATGAACGTAATCTATGTATTACTGGTAAATTATTGAGTCAAGGATTTCGTTACCACAAACTACACAAAAAACCTTTACTAAATTCTTCCAGAGATTTGGTTTGGAAGTTTGGCTGTACCTATAGAAAACTTATTACAAACGGGATAACACACCCTAATTTTTACGATAATGTTGTTTACCGATCCGGGTAAACTTATCGATCCTTTAAATAAACTTATTCTAAAAGGTTACCAATCCAACACTGTAATTAGACCTCTGAATATTGTTTTTATCGTTATAAATATTGATTTTGTTATCAGTAAATTAAAACCAAACTACATGTTATTGCTATACACATATGTACATTTACGCTTTTACAATCTGTCGATACCTATATTTTGGCATTGCACAAGGTCATGTTTTTCTCTGACTGTCAATGACGTCTTTACACTAAATGCATTGGATGTTGGTTTTGTACTGATTGATATTTTAGTCTTAGAGACATATGTTTTTTTTTTTTTTTGTTATCGGCTTTGAACTAGTTGTCAGTAACTGCGAGTATTCGCAGATCTATAATTTGTGTCTTTTGTGCGTTTAAGGGTTTTTATGTGATTTGTATCGATCTAACGAGTAAAGCCCTTTTCAACTGATTTTTATAGTTTGGTGTTATGTTGTATTGTTACACCACTGTCCCAGGTTAGGGGAGGGTTTTGCGCCAGCAAAAATGTTCAACCCCGCCACATTCTGTATGTGCCTGTTCCGAGTCAGAAGCCTGTATTTCAGTAGTCATTTGTTGCTGTATATCAACTTTGTTTTTCGTTTATTGTTTTGTACATAAATCAGGCCGTTAGTTTTCTCGTTTAAATTGTTTTTCATTTGTCATTTTATAACTTACTATGCGGTATGGGCTTAACTCATTGTTGACATATAGTGGTTAACTTCTATGTCATTTGGTTTCTGGTGGAGCCTGTGACTTGTCAGTCTCATTTGCAATCATACCACACCTTCTTATTTTATATATTGATTATATTCTTACTGTTTATAATGTCTCCGTACCATGAATTTTGGTTTATGACAACAAAGATATATAAGTACAGCACATTAGAGGTCCACTTCTTGTTTCTTATGAATATTACAAATATGAGTATGAAAACAATAGAATTAAATGATAAGGCGTACTTTTCATTGTCATTAACGAGAAGAGGAGGATGGAATGACTACAACAATAGGAATAAATCAGTGATCACCCGTGACAAAGAAATTCCACAACGGACAAAGTAACCACGAAGACGTCCATTAAACTTTTGAAGAGATGTATTCAACTTTCATTGATACATATAACCATCATCTCCTTTAATTCCTATTCAAAGTTCTTAATCTGGTCATGCATACAGACAATATGCCGCTCTACACTCTAATATCGGCCACTACAGTGGCTTTCGTGAAAACGTGTTTAACAAGGCAGAAAGACCGTGATATGCAATGTCACAAATAATTTGTGTAGGCTACAGAATTTAAACACTGAAAAATATAATAGAAATAAGGGAATTGATATTAACCATCACAAAACCCCTATATATGCAGTTTACAAAACTAAAAGCAAAAGAATATAACTGTTATTGCTTTTCTTTGTCTTGTTTGTTTCATACAGCAATATTATTAGAGAAAAACGGCGTGTAAAATTAAACTTTTTATAAAGTTCCTATAAGAGGAATCAAACTGTTTATAAAGTTCATACAAGAGGAATTATACTTCCTTAATAAATTCCTATATTCCTATATACATTTGTGATTAAGTTGAATAAAAGATTGAAAAATTTATGACATTGTATATCATGCATATCATGTTGATAAAAATAAGAGACATGCATCATTGCAAACAGTCGCATATCAAACTAACAGGGAAATGTACACACTGAAAAAAGAAGGCAACAGAAGGAAACAATCACCGAAGAAGGAGACTTAGCAATGGGAATGAAGATCACCGTGGGAAATCTCAAGTTCTAACAACGACGATGACCATCTTTTAACGTTGGATTTAGCAAGGAGGTTATAACCTCCTTGGATTTAGTAAGAATTGGCCATTCATCTAGGATTTTCAGGTCATGATCGATTACTGTTTGTATTTGCAATCTATCATCACTCGAATAACTGAGAGAAGTGTCATCTGCAAAGAGTCTAGTAAGTGTTAATAGATTCTCGGCAATATCGTTTATATAAATAATAAAAAGAAGAGGTCCTAGGACCGTCCCTTGGGGGACACCGGCTAAAACAGGGGCGTGTTTTATTGGTCTCTTCTGCACATCTCCAGAATGTCTTCTGGTGAAGAGTCAAAAAAAATGAATCTGGACCTCTTCTGGAGATATTCTACGGAAGATCAATAAAACAAAAATTCAATTTGCCGTCGAATATAGCAGATTTTTGTTATGTTGGATGACATAAATGAATTTTACGATGATTTTATAGAAAATTAAGATACATCCGGTAGACTTGACTGTAAAAGTGTGCTCTGTTCGTGACATTTTTCTTTGTTGTTTCCTCTAACTCAATTATGCTAGACAAATCAGGCTTAAACCCCCACTATATGATTGTTAAGAATAATCTTAAACTGCACAAAAATTCGTCAATGTTTGTCTCGAATATAATCAAAAAGGACATCTTGTCTATCCAATTTTTTTAAAGTAACCAAACTGGATTATTTTTGTATAAAGCAAAGATATCGGAAAGTTCTCAAAATCATTTTTCTCTAGTGGTCCTTGAAGCAAATCTTCTGGTCCAAACTATTATTTCTATTGCAAAATTTCGATGGTAAAATCCTTCGGACCACCACTTTTAAAAAATTTTCATTGTATATGGATCTATATGCAAGTATACAATGTATAACGTTACCAGACATTTCTCAGACTGTTTCTTTTTTTTTTTTTTTTTTTTAACAAATCCGTTGGTTGTGTACTGATTGATACTTCAGTCTGGGAGAACAAGTTTTATTTCAGTACTAGTTGTAATTAGCTTTGAACAAACTTCCAGTAATTGCAAATACTCTTATTTCGGTGCTTTGTGTCTATTGTCTTAATGTAAGTTTTTTTTGTGTGTCTCGTACCGATCTTTTGAGTCAATCTAATTGCAATTGATTTGTGCAGGTTGTTCTTATATTGTACTGTTACACCACTGTCCCAGCTTCGGGAAGGGTTGAGCGCTCACAAACATGTTCTTGTACTGTTACACCACTGTTCGAGGTTAGGGGGCGGGTTGGGCCGGATCCCACTAACATGTTTAACCCCACCACATTCTGTATGTATGTGCCTGTCCCAAGTCAGGAGCCTGTAATTCAGTGGTTGTCGTTTGTTGCTGTGTTACATATTTGTTTTTCGTTCATTTTTTTTGTAAATTGATTAGACCGTTAGTTTTCTCGTTTGAATTGTTTTTACATTTGTGATTTCGGGGCCTTTTATAGCTGACTATACGGTATGGGCTTTGCTTATTGTTGAAGGCCGTATGGTGACCTATAGCTGTTAATTGCTGTGTCATTTGGTCACTTGTGGAGGGTGGTCTCATTGGCAATCTTCGTTTTTATATCAACCCTGCCATATTCTTTGTGTGCCTGTCCCAAGTCAGGAGCCTGTAGTTTAGTGGTTGTCGTTGGTTCATATCTCGACTCATAATTGATATTTTGATTGTAAATTATTTTGTTATGTATAATTCAGGCCGTTAGTTTTTTCGTTTGAATTGTTTCTCACACTTTTCACTTCGGGCCTTTTATAGACGACTTTTAATACAGTATCGGGTTTTGTCATTGTCAGTGAAGGCCTTAATTACGGTTGCCTATAATTGCTTACATCCACTTCATATTTAAACACCGGTGGATAGTTGCCTCATTAGCAATCATACATCTCTTCGTTTTTATATTATATACCTGACTTTTAAACTCGTGTTTTCCTCAACCGAGTCCTGAACATGCATGACATATTTGTCACTGGGCGTTAAAAATTAGCAACAAACAATCAATTTAAACTTGTGTTAAATAAGAAGAAAAAACATTTGATATTTATTCATTTATTGGGGTGGGGGACAGGAGGATTTCATATATGAATATGGTTGCCTGGTAAGAGCTGAAAAATAGGCATAATTAGCGACAGATTAAAAAAGTTAATAATGCCCTTTCCTTCCATATTCTTCATCTATAAATTTAAACTGACCCGGCACCACGGAATAGCCCAACTTAGTGTTGAAGTAGCGCTAAACACCAATCAATCAAAATCCCTTCCCTAGAATAACAAATAGTCGTCCCTTAACTGTCCGTGTAGTTCTTATATTTATCCAGCTTATCGTCCTACAGGGATGTCCTACTAAGACTGTCATACCATAAAAACGTTTATAACACAGCTCACATTCTAATATATCTGCATTCATAAATTTATTAATGTCATTTAGACTAAACGACGCCATGTTTGTTATGTGCCTCTGCCGTCTAAACTACCTATCAAAAAAAGAAGAGGTGGAAGAGAGCCCGAAGATCTTCCCTATGCAAAAAAACAGAAATGGACCTCTTCTGGCTCACTACCGAAGAACAAAAAAACACGCCCCAGATCTTTGACATGACTGTTTGATAACTACCCTTTGTTTTCTTTCATTTAAATACCTATGGAACCATTTATGTAAGTTACCTTGAATGGTCGATAATTAAAGGGAAGGAAACTATCCCCCTTTTGAATATAGCGATAACACTGGAAATGTTCCAGCTTGATGGATATTTTGACTGCTTAAGGGATTTATTAAAATAATTTGAAGGGGTATATGGCTATCTTTTCAAGACAAATTTTTAACATCTTATGACTTATTACATTAGGTCCCGATACCTCCTTTAGATCTAGAATCATAATAACATCGACAATTTCGTTTAGATTTATAGTGATGCCATTTATGAAAAAATCAGTTATTTGTTGTTCAACATTTAGCAGAGGAACGTTTTCTTTTTCTAATGAAGAAATTAAACTAAAATATTTGTTCAAAAGTTCGCATTTCCCATTGTCCTAATATAGACAATGTCATCTAAACTTTCATCTTTTATTATATTTTGAAGTGGAGGGATATTACATGAACCGATGTGATTAAATACAAACAGCAGAAAAACAAGGTCAATAATTTAAAATAAAATGCAAAAGAATATTTTGAACAAAATATAGAAAATATTACTTTAGAAAATATATAAAATCCAAAAACCTACTGGAAAATTATGAAAATGCTTATAAAATCAAATAAAAGTTCATGCATTTCAATTTGTATGCCAATTAGTAAAAACAGTTGTTAGTTTTATAACAAAAGGATAACACTAACGATTGCAACAGTAAAGTCCTGATTTATTGAAAGCCACTTTTATAAAACAGGAAGACTTGATATGGTGATATGGAAAATTCATATGCAGAGAAGAGAAAAACATAACTAATCCCTAAATGAATGTAATTTATCAGACTCCAAAAGCTTTTATACACACCATAAATAGTAAATAACAATTGAGATACAAGTTGTCTCAAAATAAAGGAAAACAGTCCTGTTTCTAAAGCTCATTCAAATAAATTTTATATTTTCCGACAATGTACATATATTGTATATAACCTCTATCTGTACCTGGTTCCAAAAGTGTCAGATTTTCCTGACGCAATCAAACACGACCATTTATAAATAAGGAAAATTATTGGAAAATCGTAGTCACCAAACATGAGGCAAACAATATACGAATGTCCGCACTTTAAAGTAAAAAAGGGATCTAAATTCAAAACAATATAGTGTTTCATACTTTGTCAAAATATAGTTTATACCGTGCCAATTTCAAAAATATAATAAAAAGTCTAGATCACCGAGATTTTTCAAAGCTACAGCATAGTCAGATTCTGTAAGGACTATACATGGAAAACACTTTTGTGTGATAAGAAAGAAAACTAAATGATATAATTTTATAATAAAGAATGAGAATATCAGTAGCTTGTGAAAACATGACAGGAAAAATAAATGATAAGACTGACGGTTTTTAGTTGTCTCATTGGCAATCATACCACATATCCTTATTTCTTTTATCTAATTATAAAATAGAATATGAGACTATATATATAGTTCTTGCGGTATACCATCTTTTCCGCAAGTTTATTGTTTTCTGTTTGGTATTAAATCAATAATTAAGATCCATATTATGTTATATCTATATCTAGTGATCCGCATATTTGGCAATCGCCATGGCAGTCAGCAGGGTTTAAGAACATCCGTTGTTCGACCTGTTAGTCAAATGCGTTTTGTTTAAATATACTTTTTCACTTTTTTTGGTCTTTTGGAAAATGTTTTTTGTGCTGTATTTAGACCCCTCTACCAAGAAATTTGTTATGCATGCACACGTATAAAAATTGCGGTTTTTATCCAACGCAATTATAGGTTTGAACGTTGTTTTCAATTTAGACTTGTTTATAGTTCTTATAATATATATGCTTTAAGAAAATGAAAATAAAAAGTGGGTTCATCGTTCTCGTTCTCTTGCCAGACAACAAAATAGATAACTTTACTTTACATTCCTTTCTAAGAGTAAATTATCTGTGTTTGTTCTCTTTTATGATAAAGAGTAAACATTTTGAATTAATGGAATAACGTTACTCAAAGATAAAATCAAGGATTTGTATAGTAAGAATCAATACAAATCCTTGATAAAATCATAAAAATTTCGTTATCGAGTAGAAGAAAACCTGACAAATCAATCCGTATTTGAATCATTCTTTTTCTAATTTCAGTAAAAATCTGTACCAAATATTTCCAATCAAAAATTAATTTCAATAACCAAATCTGCCATAATGATAATTGATATCATTAACTGCCATCTTGGTCAACACAAAAACATTCTATAATGAACAAATTTAACCTGCCTCGGGAATATTTCAACTAAAAATATTCAAACACAAAAAAAAACCAAAAAGGGTCATAGACCCAATCGCCTGTGGTATTGTTGTCTTTCTTTCTTTGGTATGCAAGCTTTTATAAATAATTAGTTATGCAAGTTTTCTTGACTTCGAAGTTTTTGTCCATATATGTTCCGGATATATCATTGATTTCCTTAAATGGTTCTGCGAATTACAATATTCGTTAAAAACATTTTACAGACAAAGATTTAAAGTCAAAAACACGCATTTCCGGTTGCCCGGAATGGGAACCTACCAGATTGTTTTTGATAAGAACCAATGAAATAAACCAAATTTAGACAGTTTACTGAGTGCTTTGATTATCTACGCAATGTCTTACAAGGTAATGATTCAAAAGAAGTCTGATTTTAAACCAGAACATATTTCATAAGCTCTCTGTTAGTCTGACATATCCGATTGATGGATTGGTGTTTAACGCCTGGCAATTTTTACGTGCATCGATGCAATACGTTTCGGCCACACTGGTCTAATGGTTATGACTGCAGTGCTGAAGGTCCCGAGTTCGATTCTGACTAGGGGACTTAGATATTTCAGTACTTAAGAAAGGTGATTTTCATCATCCCCCACACCTCTGGTACCCAGACCAGAGTTAAGCTAGAATGGGCACTTTGATTGTCGACTTTGACCTAGAGATCAATCTGCTGATATCTTTTTGGTTTGTCTGTTTCTGACCTGTAGCCTGTTTGTTCTCTCTTGAGTACGTCAGCTTCCTCCAGCAAAATAAACAGACTTCCTGCTGTTCTAGCACTACCTTTGTGTTGGGGTGGGGATAGTCCTTGTAAAAAATGTTGTAAATACCTTAGTGATACATCTCCATAATCCAGATAGGGAGTAACATGGATTCCACTGTACCCTCACAGCTCTCGAGCAGTGCTCTGAATAACAGAGAAATCTACCTGTACATACATACATACATACTGCCAGTTTAGCCACAGTTGTTTAAACAAAATACATGCATACCAGAACATGTTGATGTAATAAAAATATGGACCCTGCTTTGTACAATACTGACACCTGAGTCATGCTTTTTAACATGCAAGTCTGGCAAGATAACGTTCCACAGGAGGAGAGGGGTGGCTATTTTCTTATTGTGCCACCCCCTGAATCCCTTATAGCCACAATAAACATTCTGGAAAATTAACCACACTTGGATCCAGTGGTTTTTTCATGGACAGGCTCCTGATTTGGGACATAAAGACTGTGGCAGAATTAACAGATTAACCATGTTTGTGAACGCTAAACCCTTCCCTAACCTGGTGTAACTGTACCAAATAAGGCCAAACTGTGAAAATCAGTTGGAAATGACTTGACTGAAATGGATAGCAAAAAACAAATAACATTAAGACAAAAGACTCAAAGTACCGATCTAAGGTCTCTTAGTCATGTTAGTTCAAAGCCAATTGCAACTAATAAATAATTATAAAGTTCTTGAGGACTAAAGTATCAATCAATACACATCCAACAGATAATGAGATTTAGCTCAAAGACATCACAAACAGTCTGAAAAAAGCTGAAATTGTGCAATCCCAAATTGAAAATATAAGTAAATAGTGTCCATAGCATGGAGGACCATAAGTTTTCATCATGTTCATAACTGTGTAGCCATATATATTTAATATGTATGTTTCTATTTATCAAAAACAAAATCAATGTTAGTACCCTAGTATTGATAAAACAATATTCAGAGATCTTACGACAGTGTTTAATTTTAATTGATAATTTAAAGAATAAGTTTATTCACAGGATCAATTAGTTTAGCTTGTTACTTAATGTATGGGCCAGGTGTATAAACTTGGATTATTCTATTGTCAACCAAATTTCATTGAAAGTATTGGAATGTCATATGACTAACACTTTCTTAAATTATCATCAAAATTATATTTAACCTTTGTTACAATTTAATTGACTTTATATTGTTTATGCAAATTATACATGTACATTTTGTGTAGGACCATGGATTTAATAATGCTTTGAACTTTTACATGTTTTTAAACCATTAGGGGGAGGTACATGTACATGTATTTGAGGTGGCTAAGAAAAATGGTATTATATACACATCAAAGTTGAATTTCAGAAATTGCAGTGTTTTGAATAGGTATGTTCTATGTTGTGAAGAAAGCATAAACAATTGAATTTTCATAGGAATCTAACATCAAGGCATCAAAATGCATCAAAAAAGTATTGTTCGATTGTCTTTCAGAAAGAAACCCCTTCAGATCAACAGCTTCACCTTGCTGCACTTCAGGGTAACTTGGAGAAGCTAAAAAGAGTATTAGACAGTGGTAAAGTTCATGTGGATTGTAAAGACAAGGTTAGAATTTAAGCTAAAACTAGTATTTGAGATCATTAAAGTTCACTTAGACTTGGGTTTATTGGAATAAAACCAATGTACTACAATGTACTATTAATCTTCATACTTTATATATGATAGGGTAACATTTTGTTGTTCCATCTCAGAAACGTTAAGTGTATAAAATAAAGATATGTGGTATGACAGCCTTCAACAAAAAAAGCAAAACTAAAAATTACAAAGGAAAATATTGTTTTAAGTTGTGATTTGTAGTGTGTATCCAAGTACATGCCTATTTCATCATTGTGCATGTTCATTTCTAGCCATTCTCAAATTATATACGGATATAAGAATCAGGAGATGTGGTCTGATTGATTACACAAATATAGTCACTTATAGTTACCCATATCAGAAATTGTTAAATTTGTGTTCATATAATTTTCATTTGAAATGAATGTAATCAGTTATATATACCAGGACATTTTACCAAATATAAAACACAGTTAAGTAAATTTAGAACCCACTGTGTGCATCCATCAACTTAAGCTGTGGTGTAAACACCTGTTATTGTGAAAAAAAAGTTTCAAACAGTAATTTGATTTATATTTTCTAGAATTAATTTGCAAACAGGCATATTTCTAATGTCCACATCAATGAATTGCATGTTTTAATTCAAAGTCTGTTCAATAATTGATTATTGTTGAATTTTAAGGAAGGAACAACCCCATTGATATTGGCAGCGGCTAATAATCACTTAGACTGTGTTAAAGAATTACTGAAGCAGGGAGCAGATCCAAATTCCAGGAGACTGGTGGGTTTTATTTTCATGGTTTTTGTCGAGCCTGTGACTTCTGATGCAGAAAGCTTGACATAGGGATAGTGATCCGGTGGCGTTAACAAACTTCTTAAAAGCTTAATATTTCAGAAGGTAGGAGACCTGGATCCTTCATATTTTGTATATAGATGCCTTATGTTATGAAGTTTCCATCTGTCGTATGTCCATTGTCCTTGACCTCATTTTCATGGTTCAGTGACTACTTGAAAAAAAAGTTCAGATTTTTTAGTATTCTTAATTTCTCTCTTATTATGAGTAATAGGATAACTATATTTGGTATGTGCGTACCTTGCAAGGTCTTCATGCCTTTCAGACAGTTTTTACTTGACCTCGACCTCATTTCATGGATCAGTGAACAAGGTTAAGTTTTCGTGGTCAAGTCCACACCTCAGATACTATAAGCAATAGGTCTACTATATTTGGTGTATGGAATGATTGTAAGGTGTACATGTTCAACTGGCAGGTGTCATCTGACCCTGACCTCATTTTCATGGTTCAGTGGTTAAAGTTAAGTTTTTGTCGAGCCTGTCGCAGAAAGCTTGGCATAGGGATCCGGCGGCGGCGGCATTAACAAACTTCTTAAAAGTTTAATATTTCAGATCCTTCATACATGATTGGTCAATCTTAAGTTTTCCTGGTTAAGTTTGTTTCTTAAGATACTATATGCAATTGGTAAACTAAATTAAAAGCATGTAATGATTGTAAGGTGTACATGTCTGTCTGGCAGGGTTCATCTGACCTTGGCCTCATTTTCATTGTTCATTGATCAATGTTAAGTTTACCTGGTTAAAATTGTTTCTAAGATGTGCAATAGGTCAACTATATTTGAAGCATACTTGGCGTATGGAATGATTGTAAGGTGTATATGTATTTCCAGTTAGGTTTATCTGACCTTGACCTCATTTTTTTTTGGATCAGGTTAAATTTATGTGATAGTTGTAGTAAAGCTTTAAATTTAGGACTATCAACATAATATCAATGGCTAGTAAAGAAGGCGAGACATATCAGCGTGTGCACTCTTGTTATTATGTGGTTTCATTTTGATCATGAGTATATGTGTACTGAAAATTTTCAGTGAGCTTTATTTTTTTACATTTTTAATGCATTGATTGTTTTGGATGGCCTGAATTCTTCTTCTTCAATGAAAATTTTATGTAACATATTTTATAGGATAATCTGCAATTTTTTGCCTTTTGGTTATTCTGATCCAATCTGTGACTTTAAAACTTGAAGTTGATGGGCACTGAATGAATTTAGTGATATTTAGTAAAACTTCTGGACAGGTGGTACTGTGAATAACTGATGACTTGTTAGCAAGATTTGTCATGAAAATGTATTTTCAGAACAGTTACCGTGCATAAGAATGTATAGGTAATCATAGTTTTTTTATTTTAATTTAATTTACTTTTAATAATAATAACATTTTAAATGGGCTTGGAAAAAAATAACAGTAATTTTTTTTCCTGCCTCAACATAGTCACAAATGTCAGACTAAGGCGTGCTGTTTCCAGAAGTGGTGGCAATGTCAACAATGTATAAATTTGTAGTTAGGTCAGTCTAATGGGAACTGCTAATGGTAGGTCAATGATAATTTGTATTTCATTTTCACAGAGGTTATTTGGCCCTGCCCCCTCAGTCATGGTCTATTGACTTTGAAACGGTTTGTTTACATGTTAAAGTTTGTGATTAGATCAATTTAAGGGGTAACACTAATGGTAATTCTAATATGACGACCTATATATCATCAACCAGTATAATCACAGTATATCTACTTTTGGCGCAGACACATAGATACACAAAATTGGCTGTTCCGCGTTACGCCCATCTTATTTACACGACCAGGTAAACTCAAATTTTGACAGTAAATCCCATGTTTTACGTAGGCCAAGCTTCAAATACAATACGGTTATCTCTTTTCTGACGCAAAATAAACAAATCGGTCCATTTCAGTTATTATTTCGATGTAAAATATCAAAAAACAAAAATTCCGTGAAATGATGTTATTGGTTTTGGCAACTAAACAAGGTGACATCATTTGTATGCTTCGGGCATCAAATGTAAACACCGGGCATTTTAAGGCTTCTTGTATGCCTCAGAATGTAATGAAGTAACACAAAAAGAACAAATTTAGGTGAAGAATGTGAGTTTTTTCATTTATTAATGTCGGCCATTCTGTAACTTTTCTTCATAGGAGATCAGTGATTTCTCACTAAAAGTACAAGTAACTTTCCTTCCACCATAAAGTTAAAAATAGTCCATCATCAGCTATATACATATATAAACATCCTGTACATTTGACTAAAACACATTGTTTATATACAGCAAATAAAAGTGTCTCTTCCTGCTAGTTATTTCATCACACATCTAAAAACTCATACATGTGATGTATATAAATACTGTAGAAACTTAAATGAAGTATTTAGTTGTTTTGCCTATTTAAAATTAAAAAAATTTTAATTCATTTGGTTTAAATTAAAATGACATTTATTAATAAAATCTAAAATAGGGTATAATTAAAATTTTGATTTTGTTACAAGGGAAATAACTTGAAATGGTCTTGCTAAAAGATGATTTGCAGAACCGATATTAAATTACGGAGGGGCTTCCTAAAATACGACGGAAAAGGGGCGTGGCGCCAAATTTTTTTCCTAAAAAGGGCAGGGCATCAACAAAAAATGGCAGGGTGCCATACCACGCCAAAACCTCCTGCAGGAAACACTAATTATTGAATAATATAATATCATTTATATTATTATATGTGGGGTAAAACGGAACAGCCAAAACAGTATCATGTGTATAGGGTTTTCACAGTTGACAAAATTACAGAATTTGTCCTATTAGAATCGAAATAATTCATGGCAGCCGTAGATTTGTTTTCATTTAACCATGGGTTGAGCATTTATATTCATATTTTACCTCTCGCTGGTGCTCAGGATAAAATAATCGAATATAAATGCCCAAACCATGGTTAAAAGAAAACAAATCTACGGCTGCCATGAATTATTTCTTAAGCATATAACATTTGGTATGCAGTTGTATTAACATTTGCACATCTCATTCCCTGGTAGATTATATGGCTCCACACCCTCAGTCATAGTTCATTGACTTTGAAACTTTTGCACACTTTACATAATAAAGTTTGTGTTAAGATAAGTTTAAAGTGAACTACTTATGATAAGTCATTGGTATATGTTATGAAGTTGTTTTAGCATTGGGATTTCTCATCTTCAAGGAGATTATTTAGCACCTTCAGTCATGGTTTATTGACTTCAAATGTTTTGCATAGTTTGTATGTTTAAATTTTGCCATTTTGATTTTAAGTTGCATTATACAATAAAAATTACATACAGACAAGACATACCTCTGTGTTAATAGTTTATTAGTTCTAAGAATTGCTTATCAGTTATATAAAAAAAATATATTTCATACAAATTATTGTTTCATAACCCTTATTTTGTTTAGCTAATTGGTATGAATGCAAAATAAGTTAATCATTATATTATACATATACATTGTATATTATATTTAAGTGAGTTAAATATTTAAAATCCCAATTGTTTTAGACTGGAACCTGTGCACTGTTTTTTGCTGCTCAAGGTGGATTTTTAGATATTGTTAAATTATTATTAGACAGTGGAGCATCAGTAGATTTAGCCAGTTATGTAAGTATGAAAATATATATACAGAATTCCTTACCTTTTTGGAGAATTTATTTTGTTCCCAGTATTTAACCCAATACATAATTATGTGATGTCACATATTCAACAGTCTCTTCTTAATCAGGAGTGCATCCCCATTTCTCGTGTTGCCTTTCAGCATTCAACTGTGGTGACATCACCTCTGTTGTCTTGCTGGTTTTTTGTGTCATTGTCACTCCTGTCGCACATGTTTTTCTAATGTTTTATCTGTGTGATTTAAGGGGTTTTATCTATTGTAGCCATTTCATCTTTCATCAGATTGTTATTTCTGCAACTCCTTGAAAATGGCTTTACAGAATTTTAGCAAACTTACTCTGATTCTTCTACAGGAAATTAAGTTGTGCACCTGTTATTCTTGTTACTGATTTGAGTGTTTTCTGTTTATTGTCCCCCACGAAACACGTTGCGGGGGACATGGAAATACTGGGCGTCCGTCCGTCCGGTCTTGTTAGCACTCTCAGGTGTACAGTTCTTGCCAGATTTTTATGAAACTTATATCATAGGTTTATATCAGTAATGTCTTGGACAAGTTCATAAAAATCAGTGCGGATTAATTATTTTTAAAAGAGTTATGCCCCTTGGAAACATTAATTATATGGAAAATTGCATCGTTAGCGCGCTTATGTGTACAATTCTTGCCAGAATTTTATGAAACTTATATCATAGGTTTATATCAGCAATGTCTTTGATGAGTTTGGAAAATCAGTGCCAATCTATTATTTTTAAAAGAGTTATGCCCCTTGGAAATATTAATTATATGGAAAATTGCCTTATGAGCTCTCTTATGTGTACAATTCTTGCCAGATTTTTATGAAATTTATATTATAGGTTTATATCATCAATGTATTTTAGGAGTTCGAAAATCAGTGCCGATCAATTATTTTTAAAAGAGTTATGCCCCTTGGAAATATTGATTATATGGAAAATTGCATTCTTAGCACTCTCATGTGTACAATTCTTGCCAGATTTTTATGAAATTTATATTATAGGTTTATATCATCAATGTCTCAGACAAATTTGAAAATTGGTGACGATCCATTATTTTTAAAAGTGTTACGTCCCTTGGAAATATTGATTATATGGAAAATTGCATTGTTAGCGCTCTCATGTGTACAATTCTTGCAAGAATTTTATGAAACTTATATCATAGGTTTATATCAGTAATGATTCGAACTCTCAACCTCAGTGTTGACTAGCTAGTGATATAGTAGTTCGACTACTTAGACTACTCGGCCACCGAGGCCCCCGTTTGTCTAAGATATTTATAAATTGTGTTAAAGAACAAAAAAAAGTACTTTTTTTATACGACCGCAAAAAATTTTTGCGGTCGTATATTGGTATGACATTGGCGTCGTCCAATGACGCATTAGTTTTCGCACTCTAACTTTAGTTTAAGTGAATGGATCTCTATGAAATTTTACCATAAGGTTCAATACCACAAAAGGAAGGTTGGGATTGATTTTGGGGGTTATGGTACCAACAGTTAAGGAATTAGGGGCCAAAAAGGGGCCAAAAATAAGCATTTTTGTAACTTCCAGACATAACTTGTGTGTTAGTGTATGGATCTCTCTGACATTGTACCACAAGGTTTCATATCACACAGGGAATGCTGGGATTGATTTTGGGGGTAATTGCCTCAAAATATTAAGAATTAGGGGCCAAAAAAGGGGCAAAAAACTAGCATTTTTCTAGTTTCATGACAATAACTTATGTGTTAGTGTATGGATCTTTCTGAAATTGTACTACAAGGTTCCATATCACAAAGGGAAAGCTGGAATTGAGTTTTGGGGTAATTGCCCAAAACATTTAGGAATAAGGGGCCAAAAATAAGCATTTTTCTAGTTTCCAGACAATAACTTGTGTTCAAGTGTATGGATCTCTCTGAAATTGTACTGCAAGGTACCATACCACAAAGGGAAGGCTGGGATTGAGTTTGGGGGTGATGAATCATAAGGGGGTTCAAAAAATTTGGGGGGGGATTTTTTTTTTTCCTTTTTTTCTTTCTTTTAAAATTTTCCATTTTAAGTTGGTTATTTCTGTTTTATATTTAAAAGCAAATAATAATGATATGGTAGGAGATACACACCAAACAGGATGTTTAAATATTATATAATAAGTATTGTGCAATAGCAAGAAATTTTCAATTGCACAGTATTGCACAATAGCAAGAAATCTTCAATTGCACAGTATTGTGCAATAGCAAGAAATCTTCAATTGCACAGTATTGTACAATAGCAAGAAATATCCAAGTGCACAATATTGCGCAATAGCAAGAAATTGTCAATTGTACAGTATTGCGCAATAGCAAGAAATATTCAATTGCACAGTATTGTGCAAAAGAAGATACTTCGTATAAATTGCTTATTTCTTGACCAATTTCAATGGGGTTTTATTCTTGAATTCTTGGGGTTCTTTAATATGCTGATTCTAACCGTGTATTAAGTTTTTGGATTTTGGGCCCCGTTTTTAAATTGGTCCACATTGAGGTCCAAAGGGTCCAAAATTAAACTTTGTTTGATTTCATCAAAAATTGAATTATTGGGGTTCTTTGATATGCCAAATCTAACCGTGTATTTAGATTCTTAATTTTTTTTGGGCCCCATTATCAACTTTGTCCTCATTGAGGTCAAAAGGGTCCAAAATTAAACTTTGTTTGATTTCATCAAAAATTGAATTCTTGGGGTTCTTTGATATGCTGAATCTAACCATGTATTTAGATTTTGGATATTTGGACCATAATAGGTGAATGTCCAATTTAAAATTTTTAAGTTCTTAGACCACATTCATTCTGTGTCAGAAACCTATGCTGTGTCAAATATTTAATCACAATCCAAATTCAGAGCTGTATCAAGCTTGAATGTTGTGTCCATACTTGCCCCAACTGTCCAGGGTTCGACCTCTGTGGTCGTATCAAGCTGGGCCCAGCGGAGCATTTTATTAGTTATTGCCCTTGAATAGATAAAATATGTGCAATGTGGGGGACATTGGAACTCTGTTCTTTTGTATTATTTGGAGATGGCAGGCAACACATGTATGTCTTCCATTGAAGACGTACATATTTTATTATTATTGTTTTCCCTTAAAAATAATACTTGATTAAATAAATGGGCTTAGTAACATAAGGGATGTGAGTTAAAAGGATTATTTCATCAAAAACTCCAATGTAAGTACAGTCAAACCTGTATTAAGCAGTTACTCATGGGAAGAAAAAGAGTGACCACCCAAAAAGAGGCGACCTTTTAAATGAGGTTTCAAAAAATTCTAATTCCAATATCGCCCTTGGTCAATTGTTTTAGTGTTTTCAATTGGTAGAGTTATCAGTGAAATTAAAAATGGCAGATTCCTTCCTTGTAAATTGGGAAAAAACACTCTTAATAGGTTAATAATTGTGGAGAACTAAGTCTGTGATACTGTTTTCAATGGGAACTGAAAGAAGTCGAACACAAGGAATTCATGAATTCACCTCATATTGCACAATCCTCGTAGCAAACGGGTTACGATTCTCATTTTGAATTTGATACTGAACACATATATTTTGTCATCATTATATTGAGAAAACGTTTGGGAGGGTCTAAATTTCTAAAAGTGACAGTTAGAGACAGGTGATCGTTAAGGTTGGTTTGACTGTAACTAGATTTCAATAAAGTTTTCAATGATTCTTCAACTGGTTACGCATGTTGAAACTTCTATATTTATATTTAAACTTTTTGGAATTCTGTAGGGAATAATTGCCTAAGTTATCAAATTAGGTTTGTGTGAGTAGTTAAAGTTTGCAAAGGTGATAGCTCTGTGCAAAGTACTAAGCCTGGTGGTATATGTGTGTGGATTCGCCTCTATGTTTTAGTATCTTTAAATAAAATCATATATGAAATTATTAGATTTATATAAGAAGTCTTTATCTTGAAGAAGAATTTTATCTTGAAGATCAAATTGTTTGAGGCTTTAAGTACTATTATTGAAAAAAGAAACAATCATGCAATTAAATTTGTTAATGCAGATATTTAAACTTATGGCAAAAATAGCAACAATTTCTAAATATAAATATATTATATTAAGCACCTGCATTTTTAAATAATATTCAGGATGGAGGTACACCATTGTTTGTTTCCTGTCAGTGTAATCACCAGGAAGTTGTTGATGCATTATTGAATAGAGGGGCAGATCTTCATGCTCAGATGGTCGATGGTGCCACGGCCCTCTTTATAACAGCTCAGAATGGTCATGTACGATTAATGAAATACCTCATCTCCAAAGGTGCTGAAGTTAATTTATCTAGACAGGTATGTTTAATTTGGTAAAAAATGTATTTTTATTCATAAAAGTTGAAATAGCAAAATTGAACTAAAACTTTTCTGTTTTCACAAAAGCAGTTCATTCATTATTCGTGAGATGAGCATAAAAGACAATACAGTGTTTTAACTGGTTCTTTTCAGGTATTTTTTTTAAATTACAAGAAAAACAGATGTAAGTATTTTTTCCTGAATATGATTGATGACTATATGAATTTATTGATTGTTGTTTGCTTAATGCCATGTGGCAAATATTACATGCATAAGAATAAATTATATATATAGAATCAGTTAGATATATCTTAAAAATTTGAATATACTGGAACGATCATTGATTAGATAATTTTGATCTCCTTTAGAGAGGATGTTGTGCAAGGTCAAAAATTTTACATTGCAACAAGTTTTCCAGGGATTTCAAATAATGAGTTGTTAAAAGAGTTCTCAAATGTACCAAAAGTGGCGATCTCTCCAAACACAAGTATTTGATTATTTGATATATAACCTCCCCTTTCTAACCATACGTGACTGCATGTTTATAATTTCAGTAATCCAAGTTGATGACATCTTCACAAGGGTCTTAATGCCAAATAGGAGAGGTATAACTATGCTACATAAACTATTGTGAATTATATTGGCACATTTGTAAAATTCTTCGTAAATAATAAAATGATATAGTACACTGACAGTAGTGATTTATTTATATTTTACAGGATCAAGCCTCACCGTTATGGATTGCCTCCCAAATGGGACATACACAGGTTGTTAAAGAATTATTAACATTAGGTGCCAAAGTTGATGCCATTAGAGAGGTTTGAATTTTTTTAATATATTTTTTACTGTAAACCAAGTACTGACCTCACCAGTTTTAGTTTCTTTTTCTTTAATGCAAATATATTTTATTAAAGTATTCTTTCACACATGTAAGCAAATAAAGCATTTTGCTTTATACAAAAATAATAAAAAGAGCTCTTGAGGTTTTTAGTTGATAAATAAAAAAACACATGGCATACTTTCCCAATGGTCAATACTACTGTTATTTTCAGTCATTAAAGAATATTTGTCATTATTATAAATATATGAAATTGAGAATGGAAATGGGGAATGTGTCAACGAGACAACAACCCGACCAACAGCTGACGGCCAGCAAAAGGTCTTCAACACAGCGAGAAAATTGCTGGCCCCTTAACAAAAATGTATACTATTTCAGCTAAAATGGACATCACACTAAACTCCGAAACATATAAAGGAACTAAAATTGAAAAAAACATACAAGACTAACAAAGGCCAGAGGTTCCTGACTTGGGAAAGGCGCAAAAATGTGGCTTGGGTAAACATGTTTTGTGAGATCTCAACCCTCCCCATACACCTCTAGCCAATGTAGAATAAACAAACACACAGCAATACACACATTAAAACTCAGTTTAAAGGAAGTCTGAGTCAGATGTTAGAATAGGTAACAAAAGAAACTAAGCAAAATGACAATGATCAATATAAATTAACAATGGACTACTAGTAGTTACTGACATGCCAGCTCCAGAATTCAATTAAACTGATTGAAAGGTTATGTTTTCATCATATGAAAATCAAGCACAATCCCTCCCGTTAGGGGTTTAGTATAATACCGTCATTAAATATACGAGAAGAACATAACCCATATCATGCCAACAACTGGTTTTAGAATAAATGTGTTTATTTCCGATACAAAGACCCTATGAGTGAATCAATATTGATTTCAAAGAATGCCATCTTTAATGACCTGACAACAGTATTGTAACTATATCCCTTTTGAATAAGTGTGTTTAAAGGTTTGGTTAGCTTTTGAGGTGAATGACGACATTTTTGTGCTTTGTTTAGAATATTACCATAAAAGATTGGATGTGAAATACCTGAATTTATAAAATGTCTGCAAGTTGATTTATATTTATGAATGATGTCCTTGTACCGATGACAAAATTTAGTAAATGTTTTGACAAGTTTGTGACATTCAAAACCCTGGTGTAATAATTTTTCAGTAATACAGAGATTTCTTTCATTTAAATCAAATACGTTGTTACATACACAAGCGAATCAAACAAGTTGAAATATATAAACACATATATATACAAACACCATAAGATGGTGACAAGGGAATGTCACCATCTAAAAATGGATAATTAACAATAGGAAATGAAAAATCATCTCTTATCATAAACATTGGTATTAAGCTTCCCGTTAAAGGTATAGATATTAAGATCCAGGAAAGGGCAGTGTTCATTGTTAGTATTAGCTTTATTTAAAGTCAGTTCAGCAGGATAAATCTCTTTTAATAGTGTACATACTGAAGTCCTCATTATTGAGAGCCAATATATCATCCAAATATCTAAAAGTGTTATTAAATTTTTGTATCAGATGTTGTTTCAATGGGTCATTGCTTTACATGTATTTACATTTTATTAATTTCTTTGTAAGTCAACCTAAACTTATGTGTTAGTTTGAGGTAGTCACCAGGATATTATTTCAGTTATCATTGATTTTGTGTTCTATATAATTTCAGGATGGAGCCACTCCTCTGTTTAAAGCTTGCCATAAAGGTCATTTAGAGGTTGCAGAGCAATTACTAAAATATAAACCAGAACTAGGAATACTAAAGGTACAGTCATACAAAGGGATACCTTTTATGTTCATAAACTGATTCAGTCAAAATCATAAACATAATTAGTCAGTGACCTCCTCATTGGATTCATTGTTACATGCTTGCTTTGTGCTAGGTCTTTAGTTCAACCTCTTTTAGGTTAAGGATGTACTTAGGTGAAATTAATAAAATCTAGAATATAAGATTGATACTATAAGTCAGAAGAGCATAAGTTAAGGAACAAAATAAGCTAAAAATATTGATAGGTTATGGAGCTCCTTTTTGAGATATTTAATTTTCGAAAAAATGGTGGGAAAAGGCTGACTCGGACTTTTACCTTATATTTGCATTGGTATTATGTAGGTCTCGATTTAAAAAAAAAAGAAATCTAGAATCTGCTTAAATTTTGGTAAATGACCTTTTATGAGCTATTGAAGTTTTATTTGAAAAGAAAAATGGGTATGTTATGTTTACCCTGTATCGTAGGGAAAAAACAAAGGAGTCCGAACATTTGACAAAAATTCCTAAACCTCACCTAAGTACATCCTTAAATCAGAGATTTTAGAATTGGTTTTGCTACCTTTCCTACTCATACAGTTGCCATTGTGACCAAAAACATACAATAACTTATTAGCGTAAAAGTGATAGGTCATCATGGTGACCTGGTGAACTAGCACATTTTAAATTTTCAACTCATTAACTGGATTTTCAAAGTAAAAATCTGTTATTGATTTGGGAATGTACGGCGGGCAGGCGGGAGGCTGACAAACAGTGTCCGTTCATTTACATTTTTAGATATGTTGTTTCCTGTGACTAAATGAAGGTCAAGTTCAATTTTCACGATTTTAGCTTTTCTCGTTGTTTAGTTATAGCTTTCCCAAGAATTCAATTTTTGATGAATTAATCCATTTCCGTACAAAGGGAAATAACTCATTTTTAAACGACATTGTATTAATGATAAATGAAATTTTGGATTTTTTTTTCTTTTCTTTGGTAAATTGTTTGAAGAATTTTGTGGAAGGTTTGTTTGTTATTCTGTATAAACTAATTTTCTGAATGCTATATATATAATTTTTTTTTATGAAATGAACTCCTTTAATTAGATAATAATCTATTTTTATTAAAGGATATATTTCATTACATTACATTTGTTGACATTGATAGATAAGTTGCAGATCTATATTAGTTTGTGACAAATGAAAGAAAAATGTTTGGAACTATTAATTATATTTGATTATAATTTGAAAATAGATATACATTGTGTTACATCATATCTAATTTTAGAGAACTATTTTTAGTGATTAATCATATCTAATGTTAAGAGTACTATGTTAAACCATATTTCTGTTCAAAGGGAAATAACTCAAACTTATTCCATGAACCAGTAAAGATAACATCTTTATAACTATTTTTTTAAAGTCATGTGTGTTATGAAGATAGATGTCACAGTTGTTATGTGGTATTTTATTTTTGTTGTGTGTGTTAATGTTCAATTTTTACATGATCCTGTTTGGGGTTCAGAATTACAAATATCATTTTTAGTCCCCTACCGACTAAGGGGACTTTAGGTTTGCACTCTGTCTGTCTGTCTGTCCATCCGTCAGTCCGGCAAGTCAGTTTTCCACACTTTTTTTCTTCATGCTTGAAGACATTGATTTGATATTTGATGTATTGTTTTATCATGACAAGTTACAGATCAAGTTTGAATTTTGTTCCGGTCTGATGATTTTGTGCAGAGTTATGGTCCTTTGACTTAGAAAATTCACTAAAATAATCAGTTTTCCACATTTTTTTTTGTCATTCTTGAAGATATTGATTTGATAATTGGTATATAGTTTTATCAGGACAAGTTACAGTTCAAGTTTGAATTTTGTTCTGTCTGATGATTTTGTGCAGAGTTATGGTCCTTGGACTTAGAAAATTCACCGAAATAATCAGTTTTCAACACTTTTTTTTGTCATGCTTGAAGCTATTGACTTGATATTTGTTAAATAGTTTACACCATGACAAGTTATAGATCAAGTTAGAATTTTGTTCAAATACAATGACTTTTTAACCGGTAGGGGACTATGTATTGCCATGCAATACTCACAGAATGCTTGTCATTATTAATTAGATAATAATCTATTTTAAACATTTAATCACAATCCAAATTCAGAGCTGTTTTATTAAAGCTTAAATGTTGTGTCCATACTTGCTCAACTGTTCAGGGTTCGACCTCTGCAGGAAAATCCGGTTAGCTGTCACTTGACAGCCTCTTGTTTTTTTAATGTAGTACAAAACAGGGTTAATTTATATAAGAGAAAATCATGTTATGCTGATTGTTGAATAAACATGTCTTATTTGCCATTGAATATGAAAAAAAAACATCAGATATTATTCAGTTACAACATACTTCAAGATAAATTCACTTATGAACATATGCACCTGGCAGATTTATTTTCTATGACCAGTGTGTTGACCTCAATTTATGAGTTCATTTGAATTTATACTTTTTATTAATATGACTAAAATGAGATGATGGGATAATTTAAATGAGACAGCAACCCAAACAAAAAAAAATGTGCCAAATATTTTTCATTTTACAAATTTCATCTTTTTTTTTCCTTTTCAAAAGACTTTGTCAGTTTTATTTTCTTTATGAATCGTAAAATAGAAATATTGAAGTTTCTGAGTCCAAGGGTCCGGAAACGGTCATATTTGCCAGTCATGACCTAAACTGAAAGCTATTTGTCCTAAACGGCAGATTGGGATTTAGGACAAATTTTATTTTTTACAGAAATAATTTCTGTCATTTCATTGAGATCGGGTTAACTAATCGCCATTTTACACTTGTTTTTGTTTTGTAATCCCTTTCCTGTAATAAAACTGCCACTCCAGTATAGTATGATAATCCTGAGGGCCCTCCTAATAACTATATTAATGCCTGCAGGAAATATTGGCTTATGATCGCTAATCACTTTTTACCTGTGTTTTAAATTCACACCTGAAATTGACCACAAGCTCACAATTAATTTAATCATAAAGAAATTAAAATTCCATGACAAATGCCTTCATTATTTAATTACTTTTCAGCAAAGACATTTGTCAATTCTGATTTCAATATTAACACTTAATTTAATTTACGTAGAAAAAAGTAATTTTTCACGAGTACACATGTGCTTTATTTACTGTGTAATACGCATGCGTGCATATTGTCTTCAGTAGATGAGACACTTAATCGTAAAATGCAAAATGATTTCATGGTAAATTATACGAATGCAGCTATTATCTGTAATATTCAAACACTTTTAAAGGTAATAAAATAAAAAAAAGTCGGTGATTTCCTGTCAATTTGATAAACAAAACGAATTCCGGAAATGAATCCGGAATTACTCGTACTTTAAGTATTGTCTCAGAACTTCCGGTTTTAATTTCGTCTTCAAAATCGAAAGAAACGTTAGATTTGTCTGAGAAATTTACCATTTTGAGTCATTAAAATCATTTCAATTTTAAACTGTTGCCTTCCCTAAACTGTTCTTGAACGTTTTTAGAAAATGGTAAGAAAATTCATGAAGTAAATGCGATGAAACAGTCGATACAAGTTCGTTGATGCTATGTGTGATTTCGACAATTTGAAAAAAAGGCACCAACTTTAAAGTCATCTCAAAATGACCGAAATTTGTGTGAAAAAATTTCCGGATCCTTGAGTTTCTCCAAAATAACTTGAATATGAATCAACAAAGTATATTTGTAATATTATATTTTAAACTTAATACTAAATAACTACCAGTACTGATCACAGATTGAGTGATTGTTTTACAAAACTCAAGTTTGTGGCTAGTAATATCTTACTTTGTAATAATAATGGCAAAAGGAAGATTTCAGCTTTCAAGGACTTCAACGAATCATTTAAATATATATATCAAGCGATGCGAGATATGCGTCAATGAGATGGCTCACCATCCATGTATGTTGTTCCAGAGTATTGCCCCTAAATAATGAAGAAAGTAAATAAATTTCAAATCAAGTTTCAAATTGAGTTCTTCTAGTATCATTTGCAAATGGCTGTTTTTGAATCCTTGACATTTCTAACTTTGACTTCAGATTTGTGATGTTGCAATCCTTTTCCAATTTCATGTTATATCCCCTGCTAATATATTCCAAATCACCCTGTTTTTTCTTTCAAATAATGATACAATAAAAACAGATTAGTCAAGATATTAGTTTTCTTAAATATTGCATAGTCTCTCTAACACTGAGGTTGTGAGTTTGAATCCTGCTCATGCAGCTGCTATTTACTTCGATCATAATTGTCAGAGTTGGATTGCCATTCTACCTGTCGAATGTCAGTGGTTCCCTAAAGGCACTTCAGCATCTACAACTAATGATAACTTTCCACCAAGATAAAACCAAGAGTGCTGAATGTTGAGTTAAGCACTAACAATCAAACAAATCATATATATGATAAAAGGTTGTATGTAGATTATGTTCAATGATGCTGTAAAGCTGAACATCATTTATACAGTTGTGATTAAAGTTCATATTTGTGGGGTTATATTGTGATCATTTGTTTTTCTTTTTTCTTCAGAATGGAGAAACCCCACTGCATGCAGCTGCCTTATTTGGTCATCTCAAAGTAATCAAATTACTTATGTCATATAATGTAGACACAAAAATCAAAAATAAGGTAAGTTGTTTGATTGTACAATGTATTCATTAAGATCATGATTCAAACTATATATATTTTTTTAAAACCATTGAATGAAAAACCAAACATTATGTGTTTCTTACTAACAATATGTTAAACTGACCAGAAAAATGTTTGATTGGTTCTTCATTCTGTAAACATGTAATAGATTTAGATTTAATCATTGTTTGGTGATTGTCAGTCATTTTATGTTTTAAAATTTTGTAGAAGTACACAGAAATATTTCATTTGTCCATGATTATGCCCCTTTACATTGACATTTTGACCCTGTGCAATATAAGCCATATTATTTTAGCACCTCTTATATGATTTAATGTATCTACATAAAACTTTGTATTTAGATACAATCTCAATATGCAAATTTATATTTGGAAAGAGTTCTCATATCACTTTCAATTTATTTATTTGATATGTAATTTGGAATACTGACCCAAATGAATATCTACCTTCTAAGATGATTACATGTTTGAAGATGTAAGTTGATACATTGACTAAAGGAAGGTTTTATATTTGACTATTTTATTCATATTCAGGAGTTATGGCCTATAATTGGAATAATAGTGACACAAATAAATGCAAGAACAATCTTGTTGGCTGTCAATCTGACAGCTTCTCTATGAATTATAAATTAAATTTGTAAGTTTTAAAGTGTTGTTTCGTGATAAGCTTAATATACCATTAGATTTGATTGTACTTTAAACAGGAAGGAAGAACTGCTGCAGAGCTTGCCAGAGAAGCTGGAAATGAACATATAACCAAATTTATAGAAAGTTACCAAACAAGTACAGACAGACGTAACAGCATTCCTAATGGTACATCCACTCCCTCACCAACGTGATGGGCTGATGCATAATAATTCCAAAGCTTCAGAAACAATGTATACTATCAATGTGTAATATTATTTACACTGCTGAAGTGATATTGCCTATACATTCAATGTGAAATATTATTACACTGCCGAAGTGTAACTGCCTATACATTCAATGTGTAATATTATTTACGCTGCCAAATTGTTATTGCCTATAAATTGTGATTTATACAGAATTTAATGCCAGTATTGAATTTTAATTTGCTGGTTGGTATAATAAGTCATGTAATTTGTTTTTACAACAAAGTATTTCTGTTTGAAAGCACCAATTTTGTTGGTATATATGGTTCAAATTTATCATTATGAATTTCTAGATATGTAGATCATTTCTTGGTACCTTATAAAAGCATTTAAGTAAGGACTTAGGGAAGAAAATTTAAACATTAAAACATATGATAAAGCAGTATTAATGTTTGTTCAAATTTTTATTGGAAAATATTTTATTTACCCTACACAATATCTTATTGAGTATAAGTATCCTTTCAAATTTATCTTGTAAGTGTCTGTTATTATATAGTAATCCATACTTGTTATTACCTCAAAGTGAAAGATTAAGAATTCAATTTTAAGATGATATTTGTTTACATGTTTTTTACAATGTTTATTGTTACAAACTTAAAAATACACTCTACTCTACACTCTCATCCATTTTTAATTGAAAAGCTGTTCGTTTGAACTCCTAAAAATAATTGCCTTTAAATCCTTTTCTGCATTCAATCATAGTTTGTCCCCAGTTTTGATGCATCTAGGAAGAGGTTAAATACAAGGAATTTAGGAGTTATTAAATATAAACCCTATTAAAGGCTAAAAAAAAATTTTTAAAGTTATTTTTTTTTATGAAGAAAAACTTATCTTAACTAAAATAGCTATCTATGCAGATGTTGCATACAGTAATGTTATGTTTATTGGTTATGTTATTTTGTCAAGTATATGATACTCATTTGAAACCCTATATTTTATATAAAGTAAAATATGAATACTGAAGATTCATTTATTTTTCGTGGGTACCAATTTTCATAGATTGATGAAAATTGTATTTTTGTGGATATTTGATTTCATAGTTTTGCCAATGTCTGCATTAAAGCCTATAGACAATGTGTGCTTCATTGAAAATTTTAAATCCTTGTTCATCTTTACCCAAATAATCCACAAAATCCACCAGGAATAATAATAAATCCACAGTATTGAATTTTGTGATAAATAGTTTGTACGAAGGCATAACTGGGAGAGACAGTTTAAATAAGAATTTTGAAGTTTTCTAACATGCTGAATTAATTGATAAGTGCTATCTATTATGGTGCAAAGAGTTTTTCAGTGTGATTTTCGTAACTTTTAAGTGCTGATTTCATACATTTTTGTTGCAATATCATGTTGGAAGAAATACAATCACATTAGTTTCTAGTGCTTTAGACTTAAGATTAACAAAACTATTATAGCCATGATATTTTTGTGAGGATTCCGAAATTAAAAACAGTCATGAAGATATATTAAACAGATTAAAAAACAAATCAAACATAATTTTTCTTACCAGCTTTTGAAAAAAATTGTTAGTTTGCAGTTAATTTTAAAATACATTCAGCTGCTTCAGATAAAAAATTGAAATCTTTCAAGCACTTGTGTATGTAGTCTGAAGGAGTGCTTGTTTTTTTTTTTTAATTTCCTAAATGCTTAGTTTTGAATAAATTGAACCTAATCATTTAACCCTTGTCCCAAAATATATGAATTATGGTAAAATTTAAACAAAATTGGGCACAAAATATTAGCCAACGAATATTTAACCAGTATTGTAGATGTTATTAGGTTGTTAGAATAGATTATTTCTATACTAGTAGTAAATAAAGTGGTTTCAGCATATTTATTAGTGATAGACTATGTTTTATTTATATGTAGAAAATTTGTATATTTATTTACATGAATTATGTATGTGATAGAGTTTAAGTTGATGTATGATAATTAATCTATGCATATTGCATTAGAATAATATACAACAGTTATTAAAGTGTGTGGTATACTTCTTTGAAATAATCAGTTACCAGTATACTTTTGCACTATGAATTATTATTGCACCCTTATTGATTTTTTTTTATGCAGCTAACAGATATTGTTTTATAATTGTTTTGAAATTAGAAAAAATGAAATAGATATAGATAGAGGATTAAATCTCAAAGTTGATTAAATAATATATGACCTATTTATAGTTCTTTAAAGTTGATACAAGTATTTGCATGAAAGACTTGTGCATTTTACATTTGGTATAAAGATTTAATGAACACAATGTTTGATATTAAAAGTAATGATGCAAGTTTATTTCCTTTTTTCTTTGGATATAAAATTATGTTACCAAAACAAACAGATTTTTTAAATGAATTGTTTTAATTCCAACTTTGTTTTTAAAAAAGTAAAATTTAAGATGAATACCTTAGTCTTTACTAATTTCCAAATAGGTCAATTTAAATAGAACAATAACTTTGTTCATTACAACTTTCCTCTATCTTTTAGACTTTCGAAATAATTTCGCATATTTTATATTTCTAATAAAAATAATTAGTTTATCTTTCAAAGTTCTTATGAAATTTATTAAACTTCTGTTTGACAATTTGATAAAATAAACTATGATGAAATCTGAAAAGAAACTAGCGTGTTGACATGTAAAGTTTGTCAAGTAAATCACCTACACATACAGGGTATTTCAAGGTAACAATTTCAAATGTTAAACTTTCTAACAAGATGGTTGAATAAGTAGAACTGAAACTAGACCATTGATATTTGGTATGCTAAGACATAAGCATATATCTTATTCATGTGACTTTTGAATTTTTGCTATTTTTAAATGTCATATTTCCTGATTAAGTGTGTTTATAAAGAATAAATTATGCTAAAACATTGATATTTGATGTACTGTTGTGTAAGCATCCTAATATTTCAGTTTCAAATAGGATGTCAGGCTTGCTCCTTAGTTATGCTTCAATGACTTTGGATTTTTGCTTTGTTCAAAACGTTCAGTCATTTTTTTTTCATTTTTTGTGGCTGCAAAGTGTTGATGCATACCTCTTTGACAACAGTTATTTTTTCTGAGTGTTGAAAAATTTTTTGACTTTGAAAAATAATCACAGTCATATTATCCTTAATGTGTAACAAATATCTTTGGTATGTGGTTAAAAAAGGTATGACAGATATTACAATTACTAGTTCAAAGTATCAGATGATGTGTTGAAATTAAGTCCCTGTTTTGTATGGTATTTTCAATCAAATATTTGTATCCCACCACTTTCTATATTTTTATAATTTATTTAATGGCATATCAGGTTGTGCAATGAAGTGTATGTGTGTGATTTTTTAATTGATTCAGAGATGTATTAATAATGTGATAATCTTGTGACATCTTTTTTTTTATCTCTCTTTTGAATGACAAAAATTAATGGCCAATTCAAAATTGTAACCAATTGAAATTGGACTGGATGTAAAATATGAAAAAAAAGATACCAAATAACTTTCTTACTTTCTAAAAATAAACTGTCAATAATCTTAGGATAAAACAAATTGAGAATCGGTTAAGGCAAATATGATTTTCTCTTGGTGTTACAGACTATTGGAAGTGACAGTACTGTAGGATAATCCATAAACTTTAAAAAAGAGTTGTAATGACATATTTGATTTTGATGGCAAAGTTAAAATTCTTCAATCTTTTATGAACAGGGTTTACAATTTTGTGATTTAAGTGTATATTGCGCATGTTTTTTTGTGTTATGCTAACTTAAAAAAATATATAAAATATGTACATAGATATATATTTGTTTCCAAGTTTTTGTAATTTTATTAAGAAAAAATATTTTGTTTCACTGATAAAAGTTTCTAGCATATTTTTTTTCTCTTTATGTAGATACAATTATTGTTTGTACTTACATAGCTAACCTTTGCTTCTTATGTTTAGTTCAGTTTTATCATAGGGCTAAAAGACATGTAGTTTTTGTATAATTTTGGTTTTGGTGCTTATATTATGAATAAAAGTGAGATGATGAGTATGGGTCAATTAGTATTCCAAATTCACCCCTCTAAAAGAATCAGAATAGACATTTAGAGGTCACCAAAAGGTCATTAAGGATAGGTATATGCCAAGCACTGAATCATCCAAGTCCTAATAAGTTGTAGATAAATTTAACTGATACTACAAAAGTCTGTACTGAGAATATGCATATTACCAAGATATACAAAAGTCCATACTGAGAATATGCATATTACGAAGATAGGGGTAAAGGATTTTATTTTAATTTTTTTTAAAATGTCTACATATTTTTAATTCACATCAAGACATAAAAAAATAACAAAGTAATGGTATAATAAGATTTCTCTTAGGTTATAGTAGGTATATAATTGGTGTAAATTTAATTTGACAAATCACTATCTTTTATAGTTAAAGAGGTTGTATTTAGCACTGAGTATCATTGTATCATTTTTCATTTACATTTTAAAGAATGTATGTTTACTGCATACATAGGATATTACATTGCACTCTGATAACTGCAGTTAGTAACTGTATTGCATATAGTGTATGTGTGTTATATATTTTGCATTTATCATGGTGCTAATATCATTAACTTGTGTTTGTGTGTCTGTGTTGATAATAACTGACTTTGGTAACTTTTAACTTACTAAACTTCACACCAGTGCCAAGTCTTATTCACTGCCTTCTTAAGTGCTTAAAGTGACATATCTTTCAATGAATTTTTCATTCCATGGTGATCTAGAATTTTTATACGACCGCAAAAAAATTTTTGTGGTCGTATATTGGTATGACGTTGGCGTCATCGTCGTCCTCGTCTTCGTCCGGCATTGTCGTCGTCGTCCGAAGACACATTGGTTTTCGCACTCTAACTTTAGTTTAAGTGAATGGATCTCTATGAAATTTTACCATAAGGTTCAATACCACAAAAGGAAGGTTAGGATTGATTTTGGGGGTTATGGTACCAACAGTTAAGGAATTAGGGGCCCAAAAGGGCCAAGATATACAAAAGTCCATACTGAGAATATGCATATTACAAAGATAGGGGAAAGGGATTTTATTTTAATTTTTCAAGGGCCAAAAATAAGCATTTTTGTAACTTCCAGACATAACTTGTGTGTTAGTGTATGGATCTCTCTGACATTGTACCACAAGGTTCCATATCACAAAGGGAATGCTGGAATTGATTTTGGGGGTAATTGCCTCAAAACTTTAGGAATTAGGGGTAAAAAAAGGGGCAAAAAACAAGCATTTTTCTAGTTTCATGACAATAACTTGTGTGTCAGTGTATGTATCTTTCTGAAATTGTACTACAAGGTTTCATATCACAAAGGGAAAACTGGAATTGAGTTTGGGGGTAATTGCCCAAAACGTTTAGGAATAAGGGGCCAAAAATAAGCATTTTTCTAGTTTCCAGACAATAACTTGTGTTCAAGTGTATGGATCTCTCTGAAATTGTACTGCAAGGTACCATGCCACAATGGGAAGGCTGGGATTGATTTTGGGGGTAATTGCCTCAAATTTTAGGAATTAGGGGCAAAAAAGGGGCAAAAAACAAGCATTTTTATACGACCGCAAAAAAATTTTTGTGGTCGTATATTGGTATGACGTTGGCGTCGTCGTCGTCGTCGTCGTCGTCCAGCGTCATCCGGCGTCGTCCGAAGACACATTGGTTTTCGCACTCTAACTTTAGTTTAAGTGAATGGATCCTTATGAAATTTTACCACAAGGTTCAATACCACAAAAGGAAGGTTGGGATTGATTTTGGGGGTTATGGTAATAACAGTAAAGGAATTAGGGGCCAAAAAGGGGCCAAAAATAAGCATTTTTGTAACTTCCAGACATAACTTGTGTGTTAGTGTATGGATCTCTCTGACATTGTACCACAAGGTTCCATATCACTAAAGGAATGCTGGGATTGATTTTGGGGGTAATTGCCTCCAAATTTTAGGAATTAGGGGCCAAAAAAGGGGCAAAAAACAAGCATTTTTCTAGTTTCATGACAATAACTTGTGTGTAAGTGTATGGATCTTTCTGAAATTGTACTACAAGGTTCCATATCACAAAGGGAAAGCTGGGTTTGAGTTTGGGGGTAATTGCCCTAAACATTTAGGAATTTGGGGCCAAAAAGGGTTCAAAAAACACATTTTTTTCTAGTTTCCAGACAATAACTTGTGTTCAAGTGTATGGATCTCTCTGAAATTGTACTGCAAGGTACCATACCACAAAGGGAAGGCTGGGATTGAGTTTGGGGGTGATGAATCATAATGGGGGTTCAAAAAATTTTGGGGGGGGATTTATTTTTTTTTCCTTTTTTTTCTTTTTTTCCTTTTTTGTTTCTTTTAAAATTTTCCATTTTAAGTTGGTTATTTCTGATTTATATTTAAAATCAAATAATAATGATATGGTAGGAGATACACACCAAACAGGATGTGTAAATTATTATATAATAAGTATTGTGCAATAGCAAGAAATTTTCAATTGCACAGTATTGCACAATAGCAAGAAATCTTCAATTGCACAGTATTGCGCAATAGCAAGAAATCTTCAATTGCACAGTATTGCGCAATAGCAAGAAATATCCAATAGCACAATATTGCGCAATAGCAAGAAATTGTCAATTGTACAGTATTGCGCAATAGCAAGAAATATTTAATAGCACAGGATTGTGCAAAAGAAGATACTTCCTATAAATTGCTTATTTCTTGACCAATTTCAATGGGGTTTTATTCTTGATTTCATGGGGTTCTTTAATATGCTGAATCTAACCGTGTATTTAGTTTTTGGATTTTGGGCCCCGTTTTTAAATTGGTCCACATTGAGGTCCAAAGGGTCCAAAATTAAACTTTGTTTGATTTCATCAAAAATTGAATTATTGGGGTTCTTTGATATGCCGAATCTAACTGTGTATTTAGATTCTTAAATTTTGGTTCTGTTTTCAAATTGGTCTACATTAAGGTCCAAAGGGTCCAAAATTAAACTTAGTTTGATTTTAACAAAAATTGAATTCTTAGGGTTCTTTGATATGCTGAATCTAAACATGTATTTAGATTTTTGATTATGGGCCCAGTTTTCAAGTTGGTCCAAATCGGGGTCCAAAATTAAACTTTGTTTGATTTCAACAAAAATTGAATATATGGGGTTCTTTGATATGCTGAATCTAACCATGTATTTAGATTTTTGATTTTTTGGCCCCGTTATCAACTTTGTCCACATTGAGGTCAAAAGGGTCCAAAATTAAACTTTGTTTGATTTCATCAAAAATTGAATTCTTGGGGTTCTTTGATATGCTGAATCTAACCATGTATTTAGATTTTGGATATTGGACCATAATAGGTGAATGTCCAATTTAAAATTTTTAAGTTCTTAGACCACATTCAATCTGTGTTAGAAACCTATGCTGTGTCAAATATTTAATCACAATCCAAATCCAAAGCTGTATCAAGCTTGAATGTTGTGTCCATACTTCCCCCAACTGTTCAGGGTTCGACCTCTGCGGTCGTATCAAGCTGCGCCCTGCGGAGCATTTTATTCTAGTTTCAGGACAATAACTTGTGTTCAAGTGTATGGATCTTTATGAAATTGTACTGCAAGGTACCATACCACAAAGGGAAGGCTGGGATTGATTTTGGGGGTAATTGCCTCAAAATTTTAGGAATTAGGGGCCAAAAAGGGGCCTAAAAACAAGCATTTTTCTAGTTTCCAGACAATAACTTGTGTTCAAGTGTATGGATCTCTCTGAAATTGTACTGCAAGGTACCATACCACAAAGGGAAGGCTGGGATTGAGTTTGGGGGTGATGAATCATAAGGGGGTTCAAAAAAATTGGGGGGGGGGGATATTTTTTCCCTTTCTTTTCCTTTTTTTTTCTTTAAAATTTTCCATTTTAAATTGGTTATTTCTGATTTATATATAAAAGCAAATAATAATGATATGGTTTGAATAGGTAAATTAAAAAATTTTAAGTTCTTAGACCACATTCATTCTGTGTCAGAAACCTATGCTGTGTCACATATTTAATCACAATCCAAATTCAGTGCTGTATCAAGCTTGATCCATACTTGCCCCAACTGTTCAGGGTTCGACCTCTGCGGTCGTATCAAGCTGCGCCCAGCGGAGCATTTTATTTTATTTAAGATGTAAAATTTCAAAGTTGGTATCAGTACAGATAGGTTGATGGTCATGAATCTCAATTTTCTCATAAAAATGTCTCAGCATTAGTATTATATAAATAGATAAACTAAAAAAATATAGAGTGTTAATATATGCAGGGTCTCTACTTTATAAAAAATTTCAAAATGATTCATTTTTTTATGATAAATGGTCATTCAGTTGACTTAAACCATGACACATATTGAATTGATTACTTATACTAGTATTGATGAAGTTTCCTTTAAACAAAATACAGTAATGTACAATAAAATGACAAACAGTAAATGTTGTACGTGTACAATTGAAATAAATATTGTACATGTACAATTGAAATAAATGCTGTAAATGTACTATGAAATACACGTTGTACATGTACAATTGAAATAAATGTTGAACATATACAATGGAAATAAATGTTGAACATGTACAATTGAAATAAATGTTGAACATGTACCATTGAAATAAATATTAAACATGTACAATTGAAATAAATGCAATGAATCTTGTATTTATAATTGATAAAGATTGCTCAGAACTCACAATCACAGTTCCTTTGTTTTTGATATATTTTTTCAATATTTACGAGGCTTTGGTGTATATACACCAGTTGATATGTGATGAAACACTTTGGTATATTGTTGGTGCTGTTATAAGAGAATTTACTGCATTTTTATTTCATGTTATTTTAATGCAGCATTATCCCTTTAATGTGACAAAAAAATTCAGTACTTGAGAAATTGTCAACGTCCTTCATTAAACTTTTTCTGGAGAGAGCATAATAAGGGTCAGTGTAACCTTTTTTCATCACTGGTCAGTTGGTGTTGATTAAGTCTGTCAATCTACTTCAGTGTTAACATTAAATTTCTGGGGAGAATACTAATCCTGTCTGATATCTGACACTTTGATATTGTATATTAAAAAAATTGTTGGAAAATATATTTTTTCTTCTCTGCCTTGTTATTGCAGTCTTAACTTGACAAGAATATTTTTAATATTTTGCTGTAAGATATTTTTTATGGAATTCAAATGTATGCATAAAGACCATCTTACTGATGAGTGCTCCTTGGATTTTCTAGTTTTTGATCAGTTGTCATATAGGATAATGAATGAAAAAAATCTTCTTTATGTAAAAAAATGTTCTTTTCCCCTATAAATTTGTTTCTTTTAACTCATTCTGTAAAGTATTGTTAAGTGTATTACTCCAACATTGATGATTAAAAGCAACAAAATGTTTCTGTGTAGCTTGTACAATTAATAGTTTATTTATGACACTGTATATGTATTTAAATTATTTTTGCAGTTCAACTGAAAATATGTTCAGGAGTCGTACATAGAAACTTTCTGTAGAATAAAGAAACCAGGATTGTTAATGACATGTATGTATGATGTACTGAAATTTGTTGCTTAGTCTTTCTGCAAGTTTCTATATACAACAATAAAGTATCTAAAAGCATTATTGATGTCAGTAATTTATATATATATACTGTCTATCCAGAGATGAATGAAGCTGAAAGCAAAATAAACATGTAAGTGAATTAAACAAGTTGTACAAAGCTTTAGTTTTTAGTGTGAACAAAAAATAGATAAATTAGATTTTACAATTTAAAAAAAAAACTTCATTTCCAATTTTCCAAAACTTTACCTTATTAAAATAAGATAGAAATATTTTTGTGACTTTTATGGTTCAGTGACTTGCAACAATGAACTAGGATGAGGTAAATTATCAGCAAGTAGAATACTAAGACCCATAGTATTCAATGTATGCTACAGCAATAGCAATATTTTCACAAGAAGGTTAGAATATGTTCTCAATTAATGTACAACAAATTTAGTGGCACTTAAATGGAAAAATATTCAAATAAATAACAAGGGACAAGAATAGCCAACCAGAGAGTAATAGCAGTTACTTAGAAAGAGATAAAAATTCAATTTGATATTGGATATGAGTAAGTACACCTCTGAACAGATTTAATATTAAGAAAACTGTTTTAAAATAGGAGGACCTTGTGCAATGTAAAAACAAATTGATGTAGCTTAAATTAAAAATGTGGTAAAACATCATGTCATAGCTCTTGAAATCTGTTCAGACAACTAATATTAACTCACATGCATGTTCAGGGAAGAATCAAAAACTGTGATGAAGACATATATAAAACTTGTATATTACATATTATAAGTTCATTTCACAAAGTAAAATCATTTCAGTGCTTTGACATCGATATTGTCCAAAATGTGAAGATGTTGTCAAACTTTGAGAATAAATATTCACTTAAATTAATTTGTTTTCCACATATTATAAAAGAAATGTACCATGATTAAACACTGTAAAGAGAAGTGAGGGTCTGGATGAGGGGGTCCTTCATTTCTGTATTCTTTAATATTTTATGTCATTTTTCTCTTTTCTGTATATTTTAGCAGCCTTTCTCTATTCTTTATTTTTTTGTTCAAATTTTTCTCAATCCTTTATTTTTTGTTGTCCATTTTTGGCATACGATTGCTGTCAAGCAATCTGTAGACTTTTACGATTGACTCCTTTCCAAGGCTCTCACATCAACCGTTTTGTGCTTTATATTAAGGAATAACTCCAATTCTTAAGATTTTTCTGTTTTAAAGAGTAAAACAAACAAACATTGAATGTAAACAACTTTTCGTTAGTTTTCTTCTCATAATCCTCATTTTTTTCCCCTTTTTTATTTGCGTTTATTGTACAATACGGAAAATCAGTATTAAGCAGTATCTATATTTAGGGTTTTATATATTTAGCATCACATCAAAGTGGGAATTCCGCTATTTTGTTAAAATGCGAGAGTGGTTCCTAAATACAACTTTCCATCAGATGAGTACTGAAGTGGTGTTGTTCCTATTATGTTACCTTTATGAAGCTTTGATATTGAAATTCTATAAAGAAATGGAGAATCACAATTGAAAAGTGTTCCTCAATCAAAACATAATTTTAACGGTTTGTTTATGTAATTAAGCCTGTGCGTAGCTTTTTTTTACCTTGAGAGGCATCTGAATAAATGGTTGCTCTGGATTCCCCACTCCATTGATTGATTTGCAACTCAAGAGATCCTTTCTGTGTTTTTATCCGCTATTTAGGGTTATTTTTGTTGCATTATTAACTTGAAAAATGTAGTTAACTGCATAATGGTAGAAGTAGAAGTAGAACACTCCCTCACCCCAAATAGAGTCTTCCTTATTATAAACGCTATTAAGAAACTTACATGCCACTTGTTGCTCACTGTTGATCAAATGTTTTAAAAAAAGTCAAATTCATTTCACATGTTTTAATAAGAAAGTAATCATCAGCTGTGTTTATTTGCTATTATTCCTGTTTTGTTAAAAATCTTGGTAGAACAATAATGAACTCAGGCATTAATAGATTGCCTGTGGATAGATATTCCATTCAAGTCAGGGGTTAAAATCTGTTATAACTTCATGGAATGGTGACTTGTAATAATCAAAAGACTGTGTCCAGAGGAAAATTTAGAAGAAAAATAATGCTTTTGTCTGTGTATTACTTACATACTTATTAACTGCCCTGTATGCCATTGGCATGAAGGGCAGTAACGAAGATTTTCCATTTTTGTTGTTCGTTGGCAGTTTTCTGTAGTGTGCCCCATGTCTGTTGATGTTGACTAGCCTCTGCCTCTACAGTTCTCCTCCATGTCATTTTGGTCTTCCTCTCTTTCTTTTACCTTCTAGGGTCCAGTGGAGTGCTGTCTTAGTGATTTCCTCGTTCTCTTTCCGTAGGACATGTCCAATCCACCTCCAGCGTCTTCTCACCATTGGTAGTAACAGTGCTGCCAAGGTATGTGAAGGTGTCAACATGTGGTAATGTTTTTCCATCCAGTAAAACTGGCCCTGGGTTGTTTACATTTAGTGTCATGATTTCAGTATTCTTGATGTTGATTTTCAGCCCCATTTGTCCTCAATATTTTTGTAGTTATGTGGTCTTATCTTGAATATGTTGGTGTGTGTGAGACATTAATGCTGGGTCGTAATCAAAATCTAGATCTTCCAAGGTGGTGAAGGTGCCCCATCTAATGCTCTTGGTGCATCATCAGTTGTTTGTCTCATTATCCAGTCTATGACTAACTTGGAAGTATATGTCACTATATCCAACCTTGCACATGAAGCTGTTGTAGAATGCCTTTATGAGGTTTATAAGATGATGTGGAATGCCATATGGTCGTGATATTTTCCAAAGACTATCCCTGTGGATGCTGTCAAACGCTTTCTCGAAGTCGACAAAATATATGTACAGTTGCCGTTGCCATTCTGTGCATTGTTCTATGATATTTCTTAATGTAAAGATTTGGTCGATGCAACCTCTCCTGGGGGCGAAAACCTGCTTGTTCTTTACACAGGAGGTCATCAATTGAGTCTGCAATTCGTAATATAATAATTTTTGCCATGATATTTCTTGGGATGGAAAGTAGTGTAATGCCGTGACAGTTGTTACAATCATTAAGTGCTCCCTTTTTCTGGTATTTTTATTATATTGCTGCCATTATTCCAGTCGTATGGTATCTGAGCTTTTTTCCAGATGTCTTTAAAGATGTTATAGAGCAGGATGGCAGATAAGTCCGGGTCTATTTTAAAGAGTTCAGCATTCAGATTGCCATTTCCAGGTGATTTTCAACTTTTTAGATTTTTAGTCGCAGATATTATCTTATGCTTTTCAGGTGGTTCTATGTTGATTTCAAGTTCATTGTTATTCTCTGCTATATTAGGGAGTTATGTAGGAGTTGGTCTATTTAGTAGCTCACTAAACTGTTCTGTCCATCTTTGCTCTTGTTCACTTTCCGATGTTAACAAATTCCCTAACTTGTCTTTTACGAGAACATTAGATGGTGCTGTGTTTTGCCACAAATAATTTTGGTGATTTTATAAAGGTTGCCTTGCTCACATTTGCTATCCGCTTCTTCCGCCTTTTCAGCAAGACTATCCATGTACGTTTTGTCATTTCGTGCCATTCTATTGACATTTCTGTGTATTTGGCTATATTCATGTTGGTATTGTTCCTTCAGACGGTGTGATTTTACCTCATTCAATTTCTTCTTTGCTTTTCTTCTAATAATAATATTGTACCATGTTCCAAGTGTGATTCAATCTTTATGCTTCTGTTTTTGTTTAAATCCAATAGTTTCTTCTGCACTTTCAGTGAATACTTCAGAAATTTCCCCCCATTTATTATCAATTGTTTCTGTGTCTTCTTCATCATTTAAGTTTTCCAAAAGGTGGTATCTATTTCTTATCAAGGTTGTATATTCATTTCTTACTTTGCTCTCATTAAACTTTCCTATGTCAAACTGTTTCCAAGATCTTGTGTTTTTCCATTAGCCATTAGTTTGAGTTTAATATCAGCTGTTACCAAATGATGATCACTCCCAACATCAGCTCCTCTCTTGAATTTTAACATCCAGCAGTAATCGTCTCCACATTCCATTTATCATGATGTGATCTATTTGGTTCTTGGTTAGGAGGCACCATGTCAATTTATGAATGTTACGATGTGGAAAAATTGTCCCTCCTATTACATAGTTGTTAGTGGTACACAAATCTGCTGGTCTTTCACCATTCTCATTCATATTACCGCATCCATGATTTCCCATAGCTCTTTTAAAGCGGGTGTTACTTGACCCAACTTTGGCGTTCATATCTCCCATGATGATTTTGATATCATGTTTTGGGGGTTTGTCTATTTCCTGTTGGAGTTGTTCCTAAAATGCATCTTTGGTTTCCTCGCTGGAATCGTTTGTTGGAGCATAGCATTGTAGCATAGTCATGTTGACTTGTTTCCCTTTTAGCCTTGCTATAATCAGCCTGTTATTTATTGGTTTCCATTCTATGAGATAGTTTGCCATTCCTTTCTTCAAAATAATTGCTACCCCTTCATGATGTGTAGTTTTTCCAGTTCTTGTTGTTATTCTTCCAGAGTCTGTCCATCTACTTTCACTGATGTCTGAAATATGAAGTTTGTAACGTCGCATTTCAGATGTAATTTCTGCAAGTTTCCCAGCAGAGTACATTGTACGGACATTCCAGAACCCAATTATAGTTTTAGTTTTGACCGTGTTAAGGGCCTCCATGCTCTTGTTGGAAGTTTTCTCTCGGCTTTAACTGCCAACAGTCATACTTGCTCATCTGTTGCTTTGGAGGCTCTCTTCCACAGTTGTAGAAAAATTCTTCGTTACTGTTTCTGTAACATAGCTTTTTTACAAGGTAGGGGTAGTCAGCCCTAAGTTCAACTTCTTACGTGGAGATCGGGTTTTTCTGTCAGGATGTTCCTTCCTTTAGACGATTGCTGCAAATGAGCTAACGAGTTCCATCTACCCGATTTTTATGTCTGGATTTACTTCCGTATCCTTTGACTTTTCCTAGTCATCAACAAGGCAGTGGAGCTATTTATCCCATAGCTGGGGGCTAGGTTTGCAGGCATCAGGGCGTGTC